GTCAGGCTTTTTCCCATTTCCAGAAAGTACGGAAATCAAGGTAGATAGTGATACAGATTTCGTCAATGAGAAATATTAATTATCTAATTGTTACGTATGAAATATTTGACTTATTTTTAAATGAAGTACATAACTAAAAAGTTTTAATTACGTCTTTTATAACAGTTATTTTATAATAAGTATTTTATTTTAACTGGTATAAAATAAAATAAAAACGGAATATGATTATATTTCCTGTATGGATAATAATTTTAGTAATTTATAATCATACATATATTTTATGCCATATTATTATTATAAATATTAATTCATTAATATATTATAGAATTTCTCAACCTAAATGTATATGCTGTCATATCTGATCTTAAATTGAAAAAGTAATATTTTACAGTTACATCTCAATATTTCTCTTTAACAGATATAGATCGCGACTTAAAAGTTTGTAACAATTTTCTAAAAATAGAAATAATTTTTTATTTAAAAGTAATTTATCTCAACGGAGTATATGTAATAACTACATTTTTGAAAACTAATATTTTATATGAAAAACATGAAAGAATTAAAAGAAACGTATTTTAACTTGAAAAATATAAATACTAATACTTGATATATAATAAGATTATCTAAACGTGCCTGTCTGCTTATACATAATCCGTCTTATTACAATAAGAAAAAAATTAATGTAAAATTTTTGTTATTAATTTGTTTTTAGAAACATTTTCAGTGGATCTCGGAATCTGTTCTGAGAAAGATAGGATATACAAACAAAGTAAAAGAGGATGTTTTTACTGAATGTTTAAGACAAGAAGCCGCAAAATGGGCATGCAACTTGCATTCATCGGAGTGTACTGATGGTGCCATTCTGAAATTAACATCACTTCACAAAAAGCGGTACGAATAATACTTTTCATAATTACGGTTTATCTAGTCATGCTCGAGAAAAAATTATCAAAGTATAAAATGATAAGACGTAAAACGTAACTGATAACAAATTTTTATTCTTTTACTAAATATTCCAGATTTTCGCCGATTTGGAAGGAATGGACATACTGTAAAGGACTGATGTCAGCGAGCAATAGTACATGGAATAAAGTGTTGCATTCAGGAGTATTAGATAATAACCTTTTACGATTTTTAGCGTGCACTAAAAATCATACCGTCATCATCGGTTATCTCGATTTGTTAAAATCGGAACGTTTTACTAAAGCACAATATCGTATCACAGTTTTCCATTCCATTATTGCACGACATGCGAGAAATGAATTAGTGCTCACTTATATTCTAAACAATTTTGCAAATGTTGTACCTAAGTAAGATTATTCTTTACACAAACACATATTGTTTAAAATTGTAAAAGTTTGTTATATGTATTAATTGTAATTATATTTGGAATTTTGTTTCTACAGGGAAATTAAGAAGATTTTAGCGTTAACAGATATTATTAATCATCTGTATTCTAAAGATCAACTTGACAAGGTAAAGTTTAAGAAATATAAATATATATAACACATTTCTTGATTGTGTTGAAAAGATATTATTGCAGACAAATGTAGAATTAGATTCCAATTCTTCTACATTCCTTTTGTAGATTCTTTTTCCACAGTATTTTTGTTCATCTTCCTTCTTGAATTATTACTCTATCTCTTTTTCCTCAATCCCTCTTAATACATTTCCGATTTTCTTATTTGATGTATTTCTCTGCGTGTTTTTTTTTATCCTCTCTCTTCATATTTCGATATGATTCCTCTTAATTCCTTTTCCACGATTTTCTATTCTGTTCTTTCTTATTCTTTTTTTGATCGCTATATTATTTCTTTTTCTTCGATTCGAGAAAAAAATACTTTCAGAAATACTTATGAAATTTCTTCTTCGATCATTTATTTTTCTCATTATTTTGTCGTGTCTTTTTCTATACTATGAACAAATTTTCCTTAATTCGTTTTCCACAATTTTCTTCGATCTCCCTTCTTCGACTGTTTTTCCATAGTCTAAATAGATATTACAATATCGATGAATATTGTCTCTCATATTCAACAAGAATAATGCAGTATAATAATGACTGTTGACATAATCTGTTTCAGGTTTATAACTACGTAGGAAAGAATTTCTCTGACAAAATGTTTTCACGACTTATCCTAAAGATAAATAGACGATCGTCACAAATCACTAAACACGTTGGCTATTTCAAGAGCTTTTTAAAGACGGAGTGAATTAATATTTAAGAATATTATGTACTTATCTACATATATGTAATATCATGTATTCTATTATTATATAAATATATTTTTATGTCTTATTTTATTCTTATTTTCAATTATACATTTCATATTAGTAATTTTTCTTTACTATTGGTCTTTAATAATATCTCCACGATCGCGCAATATATAGCTATTAAAACTTGCTAATCGGACGCATATTTTTTCGGAAAAATTATCTTGAATATAACAACTGTAATATATTTTATTCAAATGCGTCATTATTTTATTTAGCTCATTAATTAGAACATCCACGGCCTTATAGTCATGTTTGTTTTGTTACATACGACCTTACAGTTTGTTTTCAAAACCCGTATTTAATACCAGCTATTGATATCGTCGTCAGTATTCGGTGAACTCTCGACGTGTAAAGTTGTGGACTGCAAGAACATATTTCTGCCCCTGACGGTGGTAATTATTCAACGGTAAATTAATTGCTACTAAAGAAATTATATCTTAATCACAATTCTAATATACAAAGTAAATGACACAAAACATCTGTAGCTATGTTCTCGAAGATGAATGTGTAATAAAACATATTTATAATAATTAAAAGTGCTAATACAGTGCTGTATCTTTATTTCGTAGTTCTAGAAAAATGAATTTATATATGTATTTTTCAATAAAATACACTTTTTTTAAATAACATAAAAATAAGCCTGAATCTGAAAAATACAAATAAAAATATAAATCATAATAAGAATGAGCAATACAAGTTGACAAAAGCTCGCATTATGTTCTCGCATTTTGTAATTTGGCTAAAAATAAAAATTATAATTTAATTGTTCTATTATAATTACATTGGAATTCACAGACGTCTATGTATATAATTTGTATTGGATTTTTTATTCTTGTTTAGATTTTATTCAAGTTTATTCATTTGCTTATCGTAACCAGCTTAAATTCCAAATGTGTGTCATATCATTATGGAGTAATCTTAAACTCAAAAGAAATTATAAAATGTCAAATAAGAACCTATACAATGTGTGAAATAATTTAATTTACATTATTATTAAAATGTTAAAAGGAATTATTTAATGCCACTTATCTTGTTTCTTACGTTATTTCAAAACAAGTATTTATAAAACTTGTGACCACTAACTATAAAATTTCAAGATAACAATTAATTTATTTCAAACAAATGAACAAAGAACAAACACTAATGTCTCATGTAAAAAAATATATTCTATTACAAATATACAGAACGTTTGTTGGTATCTAATTTCTAGTCTTTATTAGAGAGTCCGTAAATAAATTTAATAATGTTTTGCTTACTGTTTCTTTATTTCGTACATAGCTTAAGGCAGCCAAAGTGGGCAAATAGACTTTGATGCAAAAATAAACATGCTTATCCATCACATATCAAAAATTATTTACGCAAATCAACTACAAATTAGAAAGTCATATATGTAAAATCATTTTTGTAGTTACAAAAAATATAACATTAATTAGTTCATTTTATAGAAACGTGTAGTAATAAAAGACTCAGTTTTTTCTTAAAAAGATTGTTTTTTAGTAAATTATTGAAATTGTATCTTTTACTGTTTTTCAATTGTTTTCATATATATAAGCCACAATAATGGAAGTCCTTTACTGCAATTTATTTGTATTTTTATTTCTTTTCTCAATGAGACATTGTTACAGATATCTGAAACAAGATCTATTATGGAATTATTAAAATTACTGTTAGATGTTAATCTAATATTCATTGCTGTAAAGACTGTTACCGGCAGAGTCTCGTTGGTTGAAACAAATTGTCATAAAGATATGCAGTCACTAAACCTATCGGGCTATGATATCGACTTAACGCCATTTATCAATGAAGATGATTATAAAAATACAACTGTTTATGAAAATTTTAAATCGTATATCGATGAGCAACGAACAAGAGGCAATTTTGTCTTCTATGGTGGATCTACTATACACTTTCGATTCAGAAATAAACTAAATAAAATATGCCTGCATGCATCAAACCTGGAAGTTGATGGTGCGTCGATAGAAATTGTTTTTACTCTTGACGGTATTAACAATGTATCTTATATACCAAGAATTCACACATATGAAAATGAAGAAATACAAATTATCGTTCTTTATTTTGATCATCTTAAACTGTCTGATTTGTATGATTACCATATAAACATGAAATTTGTTAGTAGTATAACTGATATCACAGGAGGCTTTGTCAAGACACCCTATGTAAATAATAAAGAAGAAAAAACGTGAGTAATATAATATTAATAAAATTTAACACATTTCAACACATCTTCAAGGTAAAAATTATAATAAAATATTAATTATTTTTCTTATTTTAAGTTGGTTCATATTTTAATTAATTCGGATAATAATCTAAATATTACAAACGTTTATTACATAAATATATTACATAAAAACATCGCTATGCGTTATGTGATGTAATCGCAGAAAATGTGAGAACTCAGCGTATAATAAAAGCATATTAAATATTATTTTTGAAATATCTCTTAATCGCATTTGAGCGTTTTCCACTCTTCAATATATTATACACCGGCAACAACTAAAAATTTAAGGTATACTGTTAAAATATAATAGGTTCGTCGCAGCAGCCAATTTTCGGGGAATTGGTGCCCGACAAATATTTCCATGCTGGAATGAGTCGGATGTCAGGATCAACTTTGTAATTTCCATAAAGCATCATAGTAAATATACGGTTTTATCGAATTCGCCGATTGACCAGGTGGTTACAGATGACTATGGTATAGTTTGGACACGCTTTCAGACAACAGATAAAATATCCCTTTATCAAATAGCGGTTGTATTGACCGATCTCGAGCGCATTCCTAATACAACCGTGTGGTGCAGACAAAACGTGAAACAGCAGATAAAATTTGCACAACAAGTTGCTGAAAACGCCAAATTATATTTGAAAAGCATGTTTCCCGACGGACAGTTTCCATCGAAAGTAGATCATGTTATAGTCCCGGGTTTTCGAGACGAAGGCTTGGAAATTTGGAGATTCGTTTTCTATAGGTACTTTTTACATCTAATTAAAAAGAAATTTTAGTTTTTATTGAAAGGAAAATACCTTTTTAATAAAATTTTTAGTATTTTAAAATTTGTAATACACATATTTTTGTATTTAAATTAATCATATTAAATAACAATACAAAAAGTGTGGTATGATACACTATGCATTAAAAGATTTACAGAACAATAATTGATATGCTGTAAATATATTTACAGCATATCAATTACCTACAACATACACATTGAAATTAACAATATTATCATTTTTATATTATTATTAAAATTAAACACAATACCTATTGTTAGAAGAATAATTTTGACCAAATTATTTTATTATTTTTAGGGAGACAGCTATTATCTACGATGAAAAATTAGATTCTATTGCGTGGAAATTTGAAGTAGCACGCACGGTAGCGCGTAAAATGGTACATCAATTTTTTGGAAACTCAATCGGCCAAACTTGGTGGTCTTATCTGTGGTTAAACGAGGGTATTGCTTCGTTTTTGGCAATGGAAATTATCAAAGAGGTTATTTTTATGAATTTTTCGTGCCACTACGCAATTAAAAAGAAATTAGTTGCTTGATAATACATAAAGAAATTGTTAATTTTTATAAATTATTTTTCTTTTATAAAAACACTAAATATTGATTAATAAATTTTTGTACATTGTTATGTAACTGGAAATATAAAGACCTATTAAGATCGAAAATGCACGCAACCTAAAAATAAGATTAGTTACAAAAAATAAAGATTTAGTTACAATTCAAGAATATTTTTCAAAAAGTTAAATAATAACTTGTTTCTAAATTGCATGACGGTTTAAAAAATGACATAACATTTTTCAATTATTATTGTTATAAATAGTAAAAACCTATATTAATAATGCAAAGTATTTATTAGTATGTTAACTAAATAATTGTTTCATTACATCAAAATTTTTGTCACTAGCATGGACATTCCGACCTCGCGGATTTACTGACAGTACAATTTCAACATGAGTCTCTCCGTTTGAATGATTATTACGATATGCCTCTTATATCACATGTCAATACACTCTCTGACATAAATTTTCTTTTCCCTTTTACTTATTACGTTAAAGGTAAGAATGAAAAAATATAGTTATATAATTGTGCATAGAAAACTTTTTAACATTTGTGTCACAAAAAATATGAGAGATTAACTGTAAGCAAGTTTGTCTGCAATCTATTTATCTATGTTAAAACACATTTTTTATTGAAAAAATACATATATATAATTGAAACTTAAAACTTATTTTTATTTCTAAAATCAATTATAATTTCAAATTTGCAAAAACCGTAATTAAATTATTATAAACATGCTTAATCACAAATTTGTATTATTAATTTTTATAGCACCCATTTTTGTACGCTCATTGTTACAAATAGTATCCATAGATGCATTTAAAACTGGTCTCAATAGATATTTAAACACGTAGTAAGTAATGACAGTAATGTAATAATTAAGTATTATACGCATATAATAAATATTATAGTTGGAGGTTGCATAACATTAATATACAAATAAATTGTATAATGATTTTATATTTTCCATAGCAATCTGTTATTGCCAATTATATTATTACTTACAATGTTAAACTTTACAAATTTAGCCAGCTTAAATCTATCGATACCTCGAGTAGCACAACCGACAAATTCTTTGATATACTACAAGAAGTTCTAGAAAATTCAAATGAATCAAACATTAACTCAACGAAAAAATTGACAACTTATTGGACAAAGCAAAAACGCTATTTTACACTGAAACTAACACGAGAATCTGCTGAAGATGACGTCGAAATAACATTGCAAGAACATTTTGTTAAATCACGTGCGAAAAAGTTGTGGATACCTGTGACTTATATTACACAGAGCGCTCCCAAGATTACTAAGAAAAGCTGGATAAATATGTACATGCAAATTTTAGACTTAGAAAATATTAAGATAAGTGACTGGGTTATTGTTAACGTACAACAAACTGGTAAATATAAATTAATAAATTTATTGTATTTGTAGATATGTTGTACATAAATAAGACTTTGCGTACTATTCTGCATAGTTAATCACAAAATTTACTTATTTTATACGACAGGATACTATCGTGTTAATTATGACTACAATAATTGGCAAAAAATTATAATATATCTAAATTCAACGGAATATTTCAAAATACATGTACTTAATCGTGCTCAGATCATCGATGATGCATACTATTTTCTATTAAATGACAAATTCGAATTCTATTTCTTCAAAGCTCTCACGTCTTGTTTATCAAGAGACACAAATTATGTAGCGTGGTATCCTATGTTTAAAATTATGGAAGAGGTATCGAGTTTTTTCCCATTTCCACAAAGTACGGAAATAAAGGTACATAGCAATAAATTTTGTCAATAAGATATATTAGTTATGTGATTGTTGCATATATATATAATACTAGGTTTATATTTAAAAACTAAAAAATTTTACATAAATAATTTTTGTAATTAAAAAAATTTAATTATTTTTCACATAATAGTTATTTTGTTTAAATTAAATGCATAGAATATTTTAAAGCAGAAAGTTATTACATTTACTCTGTTTTACTCTTTTTTTCTGATCTGGCTATATTTCCAATTTTAAGCACTACAAATTTTATAGTTAGACACAATATATATTATATATTATTATTGTTATAAATATTATTTTAGTAAAATATTGTAGAAATTTTAAAGCTGATAATATACGAGGTCTCTGTTTAAAAAAATTCTAAATTTTGTCTATATTTTTTCGAGATTTACTCATAACTTATTCAGTCTTATAGACTTCATATATCATGTCTGATTTTAAATTCAGAGGTTATTTTTTTACACTTATGTCAACTCTTCTTTCTAATGGATATGGATCATGACTTCGAAGATCACAATGTTCAGTACAAATTTCCTAATAATAGAAATAATTTTATGCAAAATTAAATTTATATCAACAGAGTATATGTATAATTAAATATTTCAAACCCAATATTTAAATGAGAAGAAAAAATTAGAACATATATTTTAGCTATTAAAATATGAAGAAATTTAAATTATTAAAATATAAAAAGATTTTTTATAAACGTATATATCTGCTCATCTTATATATCATACTCCTTCCGTTACAAATCAATATCATTATTCATTTGGTTTTAGGAACACTTTCTGAAAATCTTGGAATCTGTTCTGAGCAAGATAGGATATATAGACAGGGTGAAAGAGGATATTTTTATTAAATATTTAAGACAAGAAGCCGCAAAATGGGCGTGCACTCTGAATTCCTCGCAGTGCACCACTACTGCCGTTTTTGGATTAATGTGGCTTTACAAACAGCCTGAATCGTACGAATAATAATACTTTTCATAATCACAATTTTTCTAATCGATATATCTAGAACAAATTAATAAAATATAAAGAAAGTTTAATTATTATTATAACAAAATTTTATTTTTATTTTACCCAATAGAATTTTGCCGGGATGGAAGGAATGGATTTATTGTAAAGGAATGATGGTAGTCGATAATGCTACTTGGAATGATGTATGGAATGCAGGAATATCGCATAACATACTTTTAAAATTTTTAGCGTGCTCTGAAAATTGTACCATCATCATCGATTACATCGATCGATTGAAATCAGGATATTTTACTAATGCTCAACACCGTATTACAGTTTTTCATTCCATTATTGCACGACATGCGAAAAATGACTTGGTCCTCAATTATATATTAAAAAATTTTAAAAATATAGTACCTTGGTAAGGATACCTATTCCTTTTATAAACATATTGTTTGAAAATTTAAAAGTTTGTTATATGTACTAATTGTGTAATTATATCTGATGTTTTTTATTCTTATAGCGAGATTGACAAGTATGTAGCGTTAACAGATATTATCAATCACATATATTCTTATAATCAACTTAAAAAGGTAAATTTTATTAATATAAACATATATGTAGCATACACACACACACACACACACATATATATATATATATATATATATATATATTTGTGTGTGTGTGTATAATATGTATTATACATTATACATATATATACATATATTATATATATATTTCCTGATTATATTGAAAACAAAATATTATTATATTGTAGATACATGTTAATATAGATAGATTTTATTTTATTCCTTGTCCATAGTATTCTTTCCTAATCTTTCTTTTTCTTTTTTATTATCTTGTCTTTTTTCTTTATTCCTTAAGAACAAATTGTTATTGGTTCGTCTTTCACAATTTTCTCTTTGATCTGCCTGCTTTGATCATTCTTTTCGTCTCCTAAATAAATATTGGATTAATAAATATTATTTCTCATATACAACAAGAAAAAAATAATATACAGAAATGATAAATGTTAACATTATCTGTTTTAGGTTAATGACTGCGCTGCACAAAATAATTTATCTAATAAAATGTTTTCGTATGTTACCCAAAAGATATATATACGATTTCTAGAAATCAAGAGACATATTGGCTATTTCATGAAATTTTTAAAGACGGAGTGAATTAATATTTAAAAATATTATGTATTTATCTATATATAATATCATATATTTTATGATTATATGAATAAATTTTTATGTTTTATTCTTATTTTCAAATATGCTTTTTTTATTTGTAATATATTTCTTCACTATCAGTGTTTAACATGGAATGTTTTTCCGAAAGCTGCGCCCCTCCGTGCAAGATAAACTCTTGTGCGGAGCAAACTGAGTTCCGTCTTTCGGAAAGAGACGTTAAGCCGTTGGTCCAAAGGGTTAAAGTGAGAGGAGAAGGGTAGTATTGGATGAGAATTGAGTAAAAGGATTGGGAACGTCCCTACAAAACGCCTTGCAACCCTGAGGGGAGTCAATAAACGAAATACACTATCAGTGTTTAATAATATTCTATCGGCGCGACTTCATGATCATACATATATCTCTTGATATAATACTTTAAGAATTTTAGAAAATAAAACCAATTATAATTTAATAGTTTAATGCTTTTCTCGTTTTGGCTTTAAATGCAGTATCGTCGATGTGCGTAAGACTGCAAACTTTGAAAAAAAAAAAACAAATTGTGTGAAATTTATAAAGCCATACAGTTAATAATTCATAATAATAAACTTTAATTGTATGTTTATAATGGCGTATTTATATGCTAAAAATAAATAAATATGTTTTCATGTGTCGGTCACCACTCATATAAAGAGACACAGTTATATTATGCAACCATGTGCCTATATAAGTGCATACGTGAGATATTAAATAACATTTGGAAAGAAAAAGAGAAGAGAGAAGGATATTAGTTTAATACCTTTATTAATACATAAATTTATTAATGATATAGATACACAGATACATAGAAATAATAAAATCTATAGTAAATCACAACAGATATCTACATATTTTACAAAGACATATTTTTTTATAAAACTTAAAAATGTTAAACATATAAATATATATATATATATATTGTATATATATATATATATAAAACTTGTTAACCAAACGCATACTTTTGCAGAAAAATTATCTTAGAAATAAAGGATATATATTACTTTATTTGATTATAGCATTATTTTATTTAACTTATATTAATTAGGATATCTATGGCCTTATAGTTATGTTATTTAGTACTGTTACATACGACCTTGCCGTTTGCTTTCGAAACACCACGTATTTATTATGAGCTATTGATATTGTCATCAGTATTCGGTGAACTCTCGACATGTATGGTTGTGGACTGTAAGAACCTATATACTTCTATTCGTAACAGCAGTACTTTTTCAACCGTAAATTAATTGCTACCATCAATTATATCTCAATCACACTTCCAATATACAAGGTAAAAAAAGAGGAACGTCTTTAGTTTTGTAGTTCGTAGATGAATGTATAATGAAATATATTTATAATAATTAAAAGTGCGAATACAGGACTATGTTTCTATTTCGTAATTCTTGAAGAATAAATTTATGAATGTATTTTCCAACACACAAAGTACATTTTTCTTTAAATAAAATGGAAGCGGGCTTATATCTAAAAATTATAAATAACAGTTTAAAACGATATAAGAACGTGCAAGCCAATACAAGTTGACATGAGCTCGCACCGTTATCACATTATTGTAATTTTGCTAAAAGTAACTTCTCTTTATATCGCACATAGCTTAAGAGAGCCTAAGGAAGCAAACAGATTTTGATGCTAAAAATAAACATGCTTATTTATCACGAGTGTTTGAAAAAACTAATGTTATTTTGCAGTATTTTATATAAGCACTTGTTTAATTTTAAATTCTGAGAAGAATTTCTAAAAGAGACATCAGAAATTTCATTTGAATTTGAATTATGATGCATTTTAGTTACATTTATCTCTTGATATAGTTACAATACGTGAGGCATGTGAAAAACGTAGCTTTATTAAAATAAACATTATTGATGTCTTAATAACTTTGAAAGAACGTGCCCTAAATACTTGATTATTTAATAAAATATTTGTTATATACAGAAAGTATTTATGTACAATTTATCTAATAAGATAATATTTATTTAAACAAAAAATATACATTGCTCTTTAAAAGAAATATAAAAAATTATTTACGCAAATCAACTAAAAATTAAAAAGTTATATGTAAAATTACATTTCTAAGTTATGAAAAATATTATAAGATTAATTGTAATTAATAGATATATTTTACAAAAGCATGTAGTAATAAAAACGCTCAATTTTTTCCTCGCACTAGATTGTTTTTTAGTAAATTATAAGAATCGTATATCTTTTATTGTTTTTAATTGTTTTCACATATAAGCCACAATAGTGAAAGCCTGTTACTGCACTTCGTGTTTTTCTTCTCACAAAGAGATGTTGTTACAGATACCTGACACGAGAATTATTATGGAATTATTAAAATTATTGTTAGGTGTTAATCTAATATTCATTGCTATAAAAGCTGTTACCGGCAAGGTCTCATTGGCTGAAGTAAATTGTCGTAGAGAGATGCAGTCACTAAATATATTGGGCTATGATATCAACTTAACGCCATATATCAATGAAGATGACTATAAAAATACAACTGTTTATGAAAAATTTAAATCATATATTGACGAGCAACGAGCGACAGGCAATTTTGTCTTCTATGGTGAATCTACTATGTATTTTCGATTCAAAAATAAACTAAATAAAATATGCCTGCATGCATTAAACCTGGAAGTAGATGGTGCGTCGATAAAAATTGTTTTTACTCTTGACGGTATTAAACATATGTCTCACATATCGAGAATTCACACATATGATAAAGAAACGCAAATTATTGGGCTTCATTTTGATGATCTTTGGCTGCCTGATTCGTATACTTACCACATAACCATGAAATTTGTTGGTAGAATAACTGATATCACCGGAGGCTTTGTCAAGACATCCTATATAAACAATGAAGGAGAAAAAACGTGAGTAGTATTAATCTAATAACACATTTCAACACGTTTGCTAGATAAAAATTATAATAAAATAATAATTATTTTTCTTATTATAAATTGATTCATATTCTAATTAATTCGGATAATAATCTAAATATTACAAACGTTTATCACCTAAATATATAACGTAAAAATATCGCTATCCATTATATGATATAATCGCAGAAAATATGAAAACTCAGCGTAATAAAGGTGTATTAATATTATTCTTGAAATATCTCTCGTATTTAAACGTTTTTCACACTTTAATATATTATTATACATCGGCAATGATTGGAAATTTTAAGGCATACTGTTAAAATACGATAGGTGGTTCGTCGCAGCAGCCGATTTTCAGGGAATTGGTGCCCGACAAATATTTCCATGCTGGGATGAGCCGGATGTTAGGAACAACTTTGTAATTTCTATAAATCATCACAGTAAATATACGGTTCTATCGAATTCGCCGATCGACCACGTGTTTACAGATGACTATGGTATGGTTCACACACGCTTTCAGATAACAGATAAAATATCCCCTTATCAAGTAGCGGTTGTACTATCCGAGCTCGAGCGCATTCCTAACACAACCGTGTGGTGCAGACAAAACGTGAAACAGCAGATAAAATTCGCACAGCAAGTTGCTGAAAATGCCACATTATATTTGAAAGGCATGTTTCCTGACGGACAGTTTCCATCGAAAGTAGATCATGTTGTAGTCCCGGGTTTTCAAGACGAAGGCCTGAAAAGCTGGGGGCTCATTCTTTATAGGTACTTTTTACATATAATTAAAAAAGAATTTTAACCTTTATTGGAAGCAAATATTTTAATAAAATTTTTAAAATTTTAAAATTCGAAATAAACATATTCTTGAATTTAGATTGATCATATTAAATAACAACAAAAGAAACCGTGGTGACATATTATAGGTACATTAAAAGATTTACAGACTGATATACATATATTTATAGCGTATTAGTTACATCGTACATCTAAATTATCAGCATTATCATTTTTATATTATTATAGATTAAACACAATATTTGTTGTTAAAAGAATAATTTCATTTTATTATTTTTTAGAGAGACAGCTATTATCTACGATGAAAAATTAGATTCCATTGCGTGGAAATTTGAAGTAGCACGCACGGTAACGCGTAAAATGGTACATCAATTCTTTGGCAACTTGGTCGGCGAATCTTGGTGGTCTTATCTATGGTTAAATGAGGGTATTGCATCGTTTTTGGCAATGGAGATTGTCAAAAAGGTTATTTTTTTTATAAATTTTTTGTGCTACTATACAAGTAAAAAAAAAGCTGCTTAATAATACGTAAAGAATTTGTTAACTTTCATAAATTATTTTTGGTTTTTAAAAACATTAAATATTGTTGTTAAATTTTTTTACTATACATTTTTATGTGACTTGAAATATAAAGACATATTAAGTTCGAAAATGCACGCAACCTAAAAATATAAAGATTTAGTTACAATTCAAAATTCTTTTTAAATAATTGAATAATGGCTAGTTTCTAAATAACGTGACGTTTTAAGAAATGGAATAATATTTTTAAATTATAATAGTTATAAATAGTAAAAAGCTGTATTTATATCAATAATGCAAAGTATTTAGTGATGTATATTAGCTAAATAATTGTTTTATTACATCAAAAATTCTTGTTAACAGTATGTACATTCCGACCTCACGGATTTATTGACAGTACAATTTCAACATGAGTCTCTCCGTTTGAATGATTATTACGATATGCCTCTTGTATCCAATGTCGTTACACCTTCTGACATAAACTCTCTTTTCTCTTTTACTTATTACGTTAAAGGTAGGAATAAATAAATATAGTTATATAATTGTGCATGGAAAATTTTTTAACAGTGTCATAAAAAATATGAGATATTAACTGATCGCAAGTTTGTCTATTTATCTATTAGTTTTACTAAGTAAGACGTTTTTAGTGAGAAAATAATACATATATGTAATTGAAACTTAAAACTCATATTTTTCTCTAAAATCAGTTATAATTTTGAATTTGTAAAAACCGTAATTAAATTATTAAACCTGCTTAATCACAAATTTAAAATAATAATTGTTATAGCACCCATTTTTGTACGCTCGTTATTGCAAATCGTATCCATAGATGCATTTAAAACTGGTCTCAATAGATATTTAAACACGTAGTAAGTAATAACAGTAATGTAATAATTAAGTATTATACATATAATAAATATTATAGTTGGAGGTTGCATAAAATTAATATACAAATAAATTGTATAATAATTTTATATTTTCCATAGCAATCTGTTATTGCTAATTTGTTATTATTTATAATGTTAAACTTTGCAAATTTAGCCAGCTTAAATCTATCGATACCTCGAGTAGCACAACCGACAAATTCTTTGGTGTTCTACAAGAAGTTCTAGAAAATTCAAATGAATCAAACATTAACTTAACAATAAAATTGACTTATTGGACTAAGCAAAGGCGCTATCCCATATTGGATATAACGCGAAAATCTGCTGAAGACGATGTCGAAATAACATTGCAAGAATATTTTGATGAGTTATATGATGTGAAAAACTTGGGAATACCTGTGACTTACATTACGCAGAGCGCTCCTAATATTACAAAGAAAAGATGGATGAATCCGTACAAGCAAATTTTGTACTTACCATGTATTAATACAAGTGACTGGATTATTGTCAACGTACAACAAACTGGTGAATATAAATTAATAAATTTATATTATGCTTTTATACCGTTATATATAAATAAGATTTTACGTAGCATTCTTCAAAATTATTCATAATATTTATTTCTTGTATACGACAGGATACTACCGTGTTAATTACAAGTATAATAATTGGCAAAAACTTATGAAATATTTAAATTCAGAGAAATATCGTGATATTCATGTCCTCAATCGTGCTCAAATCATCGATGACGCATATTATTTTCTATTAAATAACAAACTCGACATCCATTTCTTCAAAAGTCTCACGTACTATCTATCAAGGGAGACAAATTATATAGCGTGGTACCCTATGTTCAAAATTATGGAAGAAGTATCGAGTTTTTTCCCATTTCCGCAAAGTATGGAAATCAAGGTAGGAAGTAATAAATTTTGTCAATAGGATATATTAATTATGGTCGTTGCATATATCATATATATTTATATTAGAAAATTAAAAATTTCACTCAAATAAAATACATAATTAAAAAAGTTATTTATTATATGTATATACAAATGTTGTATTATTATTCCAATTATTAATCCAGTATTATAGCATTTTTGAAGCTGATAGTACCTATACGAGATCAGTCCAAAAAGATTCTGAATGTTGTTTTTATAATTTTTAGGGATTAACTTATTCAGTCTTGTCTTCTTCGAAATGTGCTTGATACCACTTTCAACGCTCATTATACCGTTCTCACTTCTGAAACAACGTTAGGAGTAATAAGTCAACCAAGAAGAAACATATTTCGAAGGAGATAAGAGTGAATAAGTTGTGAGTAAACCTCGAAAAAATATAGAAACAAAATTTGGAATTTTTTGGACAGATTTCGTACACATGCATACTGTTATATCCGATTACCTCTGATTTACCTCTGATATAGATCATTACTTCACAGCTCGTAAAAGTAAATTAGTAGATACAATTTTATACAAAAAAAATAGATTATCTCAACAAAGAGTGTATGTAATAACTAAATCTTTAGAAACCGATATTTAATTTAAATGAGATAAAAATTAGGAGAACGTATTTTATATCTGCTCATACATTATGCTTTTTGTTACAATGACAACAAGCTAATATCAAATTTATATTATTTATTTGTTTTTAGGAACACTTTCAGAAAATTTTGGAACCTGTTCTTAGTGAAATAGGATATGTAGACAGGATGAAAGAGAATGTTTTTACTAAATGTTTAAGACAAGAAGCCGCGAAATGGGCATGCACTCTGAATTCTTCGCAGTGCACGACTGCAGCCGTTTTTGACTTAATGTGGTTTTACAGACAGCCCGAACCGTAATATGAATAATATTTTTCGTAATCACGATTTTTCCAATCGATATAGAATTATAGAACAAAAATTAACGGAATATAAAACAAGAGTTTATTATCATAACAAAATTGTATTCTTATTTTACTCAATATTTTAGAATTTTGCCGGGATGGAAGGAATGGGTTTATTGTAAAGGAATGATGGTAGCCGATAATGCTACTTGGAATTATGTATGGAATGCAGGAATATCGAATAATAAACCTTTAAAATTTTTGGCGTGCTCTGAAAATCATACCATCATCATCGATTACATCAATCGATTAAAATCGGGATATTTTACTAAAGCTCAACACCGTATTACAGTTTTTCATTCCATTATTGCACGACATGCGAAAAATGACTTGGTGCTCGATTATATATTAAAAAATTTTACAAACATAGTACCTCGGTAAGAATATTCTTTTTATAAACATTGTTTAAAATTATAAAACTTTTTTATATGTATTAATTGCAATTATATCTGACATTTCATTCTTATAGCGAGATCGGCAAGTTTATAGCGTTAACAGACATTATCAATCACGTGTATTCTAATGATCAACTTAGCAAGGTAAATTTTATGAACATAAATATATATAGCATACATATATGTATATATTTTCTGATTATGTTATTAAAAAAAAATTATTAGTATATTGCAGACACATGTTAATATAGATAAATTACTTCTTATTCCTCGTCCACAGTATTTCTTTCTAATCATTCTTCTTCTCCATTATCTTGTCTCTTTTTTCTCTATTCCTTAACAAATTTCTTGTTGGTATGTCTCACTACAATTTTCCTCTTTAATCTGCTTGTTCGTTCTTTTCGTCTCTTGAATAAATATTAGATTAATAAATATTGTCTCTCATATGCAATAAAAAAAAATAATATATAAAAATAATAAATATCAACATAATCTGTTCCAGCTTTATGACTGCGCACAAAATAATCTCTCTAAAAAAATGTTTGAATACGTTATGCAAAAGATAGATAAACGATCGTTTGAAATCCGTGAACATGTTTACTATTTCAAGCATTATTTAATGACGAAGTGAATCATTGTTTAACAATATTATATATTTATCTATATGTAATATTACATATTTTATTATTATATAAATACATTTTTATGTTTTACTTCTATTCTTATTTTCAATTTTACACATTTCCTATTATTAATTTTCTTTCGCTGTCGGTCTTTAATAATATCCCATTATCGACCGCATGATGATATATTAATATAATAGTTTAGGAATTTTCGAGAATAAAAACTGTAGTGCTTTATTTTTTTTCTTATCTCTACACATTATATTATATTCATAGTAGACTTAATCAATAGCTTAGATCAAATTACATGAGACAAGGGTTTGATTTTCTTTCTTTGCCCAGCGAAAGGAAATATTATGATATAAGAAGTCCATATTGGCAAATTAAAGAAATCATTATTATTATTGTCATCTTTTCAAAAGAAACGTTTCTAACTTCTAACATAAAGCTCTTAATAGCGCTTACATATGACCTCTTACAGTTTGGTTTAAAAACACAACGTATTTATTACGAGTTATTTATATCGCCGTTAGTATTCGATGAACTCTCGATACGCAAAGTTGATAGAATGCAAGAACATATTTCTGCTCCTAAAAGCGGTCATTTATAAACCGTTAATTAATATAACCAGAAATTATATCCTAATCACAATTTCAATATAATTCCAAGGTAAGAAACAAGAAACATCTGTAGTTCTTTTTAAGTCTATTAATTAAAAATGCAAATAAAGCGCTATATTTTCTTATTTTGTAGTTCTGTGAGAATTAAAGCATTTTGCAATAAAATTACATTTTTTATTAAATAAAATAGAATTTGGTTTGTGTGTTTCTAAAAAATATAAGTAAAGGGGGGGGGGTATATATATATATAATTCAAAATCAGAATAAATAAGTCAATACAAATAAGTAAAATTTTGCATTATTTTTGCATATTTATAGTTTATCTAAATAGAACTAACAAAAAGTAAAAATTTTAATGAAAGTGTTCCATATTTGCATCAGTATATAGTTACATGAATATCTGCATTTATAATTTATATTGATTATTTATAGTTTACTAGATTTTACACACATCTATGCATTTGCATCTATCTCAATTGACATAAATTCGGATAATGTATTATATTGTTTAAAAATAATTTCAAAACCCATTTGTGCAATGGAAGTACATATTAGAAAGGCATAAGTAATATCATACTATTCGGAATCGAACTCCTTAAACTACACGCGATAACTTGTCTCTGATTAAGAATCATTTCATGAAATTGTTTAAACCTTCAATGTAAAATCTATCTAATTTCTACTAAATATAAATGCTAAATTTATTTCGGGAATAAATAGCACATTTCTTGGAAACGGCTAGAGACAGAAAAAACGGTGCCTAGTTTTTGCTCGTGCCGATCCTCTCCTTTGTCTCGGGGCCTCAGTGCGCGAGGTAAACACCTTGGACAAAGCGAGAGAGTTCAGCGAAAACAGCTGATCGGTTGTCGACCTCGAGATCAGCTGAGCCGTTTGACACTCGTCAAATCAACTGTTTTCTCGGGTTGTCGGTAGCCGATTGGTCCGGCAAATTTTTTTAGCTCGTTGCCGGGTGTCCGGAGTTTGAGAAACTTCCGAGATTCGCGAAGTCCGCGCGCGAGCCGGCACTCGATCTCATTGTCAATACTTCTCAGTGACAGTGTGCGATTACTTATTCTCAAGCGAATGATTCCGTATTCTAAAGTGTGCGATTGCGTATTATATAGATTTCGGTCGGACGGATTCCCCACAATAGAGTCTCCGCGATTCGAGTCTTAATTCTTTTCGCTAGAACACACATACATTCGCGCGCACACATACACATGAATAATTATAAAAGATGTTATAAAATTATAGTTACATCAGCGTTATACAAATCTTTTAAAGAAGCCACATTGAATGCTAACACAATAAAATTTATTTATACAAAATTTATAAAATTAATACATTATATGTATATAAATATGTAATAAAAGAAAGTTTAAACTTGAATGCATATTTTTTAATAAATTATTGTGACTGGAATTATATATATATGTATATTTTTTACATTGTTTTCGACTATTTTCGCGTATATATGTAAAAATAACGAAATATTTTTAATAAATTTTGTGTGCTTGCACTTTTTTTTCTCACAAAAAAAACATTACAGATACTTAAACCAAGAATCATCATGGAATTATTAAAATTATTGTTAGATGTTATTCTAATATTAATATCGGTAAAGGGCGCTTTCGGCAATTCGCTGACTGAAGTATATTGTGTTAAAGATACACAGTCAATAAAAGTAACAGGTTATAATGTCGAATTAACACCATACATCAACACAGATGACTATAAGCATACAGATACTTATAAAAAATTTAAATCATATATCAATGAGCAACAAGCAAAAGGCAATTTTATCTTCTATGGTGAATCTGCTATATCTTTTAAATATACAGGTCAAACAAGTAAAATATGCCTGAATGCGATAAACCTGGAAATAGATAAAACGGCAACAAAAATTATTCGTTTTCATGACGATGGTAGTAATGTGACTTATGTGCCGTGGACTCACGTATATAATAAACAATCGCAAACTATTGGCCTTTATTTTAAAGACGTTTTCGAGCCTGATCATAGTGATCATCCTTACCGTCTAATCATGAAATTTGTCGGTAGTATAACAGATAACACAGGAGGCTTCGTCAAAACATCCTATCTAAAAAATAACAAAGAAAATACGTGAGTAGTAAAAATCAAATAGATATACAGTTATGAGATAAAACTTCTAACAAAATAATAATTTTTTTATATTTAATTGGCTTATATTCTAATTCTAATTTTGTAACATAAATACTACACAACTTAAAAGTGTCATTGTGCATTATGTGATATAATAAAGATCGCAGAATATACGGAGTATAACTAAAATAAAGGGGCCAAACTTCGGACAGACATAAACGTGTTTTGATGTGGAAAGTTTGCCTTCGAAGTTTGTCCCCTTATTTTAGTTACATCCTATATTAACTCGGCTTAATAAAACCAAACTACATTATTCTTATATACTGACAATTATTAAAAATCTAAGAAATAAGTACTGTTAAAACGTGACAGATGGTTCATCGCAGCAGCCGATTTTCAAGGAATTGGGGCCCGACAAATATTTCCATGCTGGGACGAGCCGGATATCAGGACCACATTTATTATTTCCATAAAGCATCATAAGAATTATACAGCTATATCAAATTCGCCGGTTTACTTCAAGGTGCCTAATAAAGATGATATGGTTTCGGTCTCGACATACTTCGAAACAACGTATAAAATATCTCCTTATCACGTAGCGGTTGTATTGTCCAATCTCGACAAAATTTCTAAAAATGTGTGGTGCAGAAAAATCGTCGAACCGCAAACAAAATTCGCACAGTTACTTGCTGAAAACGCCAAATTGTATTTGAAAAACATGTTTTACGAAGGACATTTTCCACCGAAAGTAGATCATGTTGTAGTCCCGGGTTTTCGAGACGAAGGCCTGGAAAGTTGGGGTCTCGTTCTTTATAGGTATTGCTTACATATAATTAAAAAGAAATTTTAATCTCTATTAAAAAAAAAAATTTCCTTATAGTAAATTTTTTAGAATATCAAATTGAAAAGAATGCATATAGTTTTATGTCTAGACTGGTTTTATTAAATAACAACAGAAATATAGCCTGTGTGATACATTACACATTAACAAAATAATGCATATTTACAGCATGTCACTTACAACTTTTATCGATATTATTTTTCCATCAAACCGAGATTACATTTGATCCTTAGAGAACGAATTTTGACTGAAATATTTTATTATTTTTTAGGGAGGCAACTGTTACTTATAATAAAAGTTTAGATTCCATTGCGACCAAATTTCAAGTAGCACGCATAGTAGCGCGTAAAATGGCACATCAATACTTTAGTAATCTAATCGGCCAAACTCAGTGGAATTATCTGTGGTTGAACGAAGGCATTGCTACGTTTTTATCAATGAAGATCGTCAAAGCGGTTGTTTTTTTTTTCAACTTTTTATGTTACTACACAATTAGAAAAAAATAGATTCATAATATTGATAGAGAATTCATAAAATTTTATTTTTTTAAACTAGATATTAATTATCCAAAACTTGGTAGGATCTAAAATATAAAAACATAAATATCGAATTGGAAATTACACGCACCCTAAAATTAAAATATAAATTAATTAAAATTGTGACTAATTCTTATTTAAATGTATACAGTACATACGGCGTTTAAAAAAAAAAATGCCATTTTATACTTAAACTATTATCGTTACAAATAGTAAAAAAAGGTTTTCTTTTTAATAGAGAACAATATATTATTACGTATTTTCATTAAATAATTATTTGATTAAATCAAAATTTTTACCACTAGTTTGTACAATTCCAACTGATGGATTTACTCGCAGTACAATTTCAACATGAGTCTCTCCGTTTGAATGATCATTACGATATGCCTCTTGTACCTCCAAAACTTGTTATTGCACCGTCTGATGTAACTTCTCTTTTCTCTTTCACTTATTATGTTAAAGGTAATAGTATATACCGCTAAATTATTATCCATAAAAAATTTCTAACTGTAAATCTCATAAAAAATATTAAAGATTTACTGCAAATTTGTCTATAAACTATTTATGTGTTAGGATTACTAAGACACATTTTTTAGTAAGAGAAGAATACATAGGTACCTATACCCAACTGTAATTTTAAATTTATTTTTTTTTAATTAATTATGATTCCGAATTTATTAAAATTGTAATTGAATTATTTTAAACCTGCTTAATTACATTTCTATAATATTAATTGTTGTAGCACCCGTTTTTATACGTTCATTGCTACAAATAATTCCGGAAGAAACATTTATCCGAGGTCTTAATAGTTATTTAAGCGGATAGTAAGTAATAATTATATCCTGTGAATAGATGAGCAAACATAATGATAAGTATCTTATAGTATCTACTATTATTGGAGGCTGCATTAGATTATTATACAGATATTTAATCACAATTTTGTACTTTCCATTATAATGTCTTTGTTATAGCCTTTAATATTAATATTAAACTTATAAATTTAGCCAACTTAGATCCGTTGAATCCATTAACACAATCAGCATATTCTTCGGTGCTCTGCAAAAAATGGAGTCGTATGACTTAACAAGGATAATGAATGAATGGACAACCCGAACTAATTATCCCATACTGCAGATGACACGAGAATCTTCTGAAGACAAAATCGAAATAACTTCGCTACAATATCGTCATACGCGATCACATCCGAAAAACTTGTCGATACCTGTGACTTATATCACACAGAATGCTATCAATGATATAAAGCAAAGATGGCTGACACCCGAAACGCCAATTGTACATTTAACTGAAATTAATACAAACGATTGGATTGTCATCAACGTACAACAAATTGGTAAACATAAATTAATAAATTTATTATACTTCTATATCTGTTATATAAAAATAAAGTTTTACATATTATTCTTTTTAATTAATCATAAAACTTATTCATTATTTATGTCTATACGACAGGATATTATCGTGTTAATTACGACAATGATAATTGGCAAAAACTTATGGAATATCTAAATTATTCAAAGGGATATGTCAATATACATGTACTTAATCGTGCTCAGATCATTGATGATGCATATTATTTTCTATTAAAGAACCAACTCAATTTCCGTCTCTTCAAAACTCTCACGTACTATCTATCACGTGAAACAAATTATGTAGCTTGGTATCCTATGTTCAAAATTATGGAAGAGGTGTCGAGCTTTTTCCCATATCCAGAAAGTACGGAAATCAAGGTAGATAGTCTTAGATCTTGTCAATGAGAAATATTAATTATATGAAGTCATTGCGTATAAAATATCAGATTTATACCTATATATTTAAAAACTAAGAAGTTTTACACAAATAAGACATGTAATTAACAAGAATAGTTTTTTTTATATCAGTTACTTTATTTAAAATAAATATAGAATATGAAAAACCGAAATCAAGACGGAAAATATTTCCATATTTTCCGTCCTAACTATTTTTACTTCAAAATACGCTAAATTTATTTTATAATCATATCTATCTTCTTTTATGCCACATTATTATTATAAATATTATATACTAGTATGTAACAAAATTTATAAACTTGATACTAGGTATATAAAATACTAGACTTTTAAATTCAGAAAGTAAACTTTTACATTTGTATATACTTTTATCTCTATTAATCTCTATACTTAGAAACTCGTAAAAATTTCCTAGTAATCGAAATTTTATAAAAAGTATTTATTTATCACAACAGAGTATATGTAATGATTAATTCAAAAATGTTTATTGCACAAAATTTTTCGACAAGACCGAAATCTTTGAAAACTGATATAAGACTTTTAATCAGAAAAAGTTCAAGGAGTTAGAAAAACGTACTTTAAATTATTGAAATTAAGAAATATATAATAAGATTTTTAAAATGTATATATGTGCACAATTCGCATCTTTTATTAGAATAACAGCAAGTCAATGTAACATTTATGATATTTATCAATTTCTAGGAACACTTTCAGATAGTCTTGGATCTTGTTCTAGCAAAAATAGGATATGCATCCATTAGTGGGGATATGTCGAAGGATGATGATTTTATTATATGTTTAAGACAAGAAGTTGTGAAATGGGCATGCATTCTGAATTCTGAGCAGTGTGAGAATAATGCCATTCATAAATTAAAACTGCATAAGGAAAGATCGTACGGATATTTAAATATAAGACGATAGGAGCGTAATTCGTATAACAAATTTTTATTCTATTTTATCAAATATTTTAGAACTGACGTGCCAGAAATGAGGAAATGGAAATATTGTAACGGACTGATGTCAGCGGACAATACTTTTTGGAACAGAATGTTGAAAACTGAAGTATTAGATACTAACCTTTTAAAATCTTTAGCGTGCACTAAAGATCATTCCATCATCATCAGTTATCTCAATTTATTGAAATCGGGACATTTTACTGAAGCACAACACCGTATTACAGTTTTCCATTCTATTATTGCACGACATGCGAGAAATAACTTAGTGCTCGATCATATTATGCTAAATTTCCGAGATCTAGTACCTAGGTAACAATATTCTTTTTATAAACACACATTGCTTAAAATCATAAAATTTTGTTATGTGTATTAATTGTGATTATTTCTGGCATTTTCTTTTTACAGAGAGATCGACACGTTTGTAGCGTTAATAGACATTGTTAATCATGTGTATTCTTTAGATCAATTATTTGGCAAGGTAAATTGTATGAATGTAAATATGTGTGTGTGTGTGTGTGTGTGTAGCATACATTTCTTGATTGTGTTGAAAATAGGATATTATTAAAAGTCTGATACATATAAATATAGACCAATTCCTTTTAATTCTTTTTCTACTATATTCTTTTTCGATCTTTATTCTTGTATTGTTGCTATATCTCGTCCACCTCTTGATACTTTTTTTTATTTTCTTCTTTAACGTTTCTTTGATGATCTATTTTGTTTCGTCTTTTTCTATGTATTGGATAAATTCTTTTTGGTTCGGCTTTCACAATTTTTTTTATCTCCCTTCTTTTTTCTTTGTTTTTTAAATAAATATTAAAATATCAATAAATATTGTCTGTCATATACAACAAGAATAATGTAGTAATAAATAATGAATGCTGACAAAATCTGTTTCAGGTTTATAAATATGTACTAAATAATATCCCTAAGACTAATAAAATATTTTCATATTTTATCAAAAAAGCAGATACACGAGTGTCAGAAATTGATGACCTTCTTAGATATTTCAAGAATTCTTTAATGACGAAGTGAATCAATGTACAATATTATGTATTTATCAATATATGATATTATATTATATATTTTATTGTTATATAAATAAATTTTTTTGCTTTATTTCTATTGTTTTTTTCAATTTTTCATTACCTATTTATAAAATTTATTTCTTTTAGTATCGGTTCAGAAATTTTAGAGAATAAAAACTATTGTGGTTTAATTTTTTTTTTGTTTTTGCATCGAAGAATACATAAATAAGACGTAGATGGTCTTCGGAAGGTTTATTTATAATTAATTAATTATCAATAATAATAATAATAATAATAATAATAATAATAATAATAATAATAATAATAATAATAATAATTTATATTTATAAAGCTGTATTCATGTCATGTCTATGCGGAAAATATCTCTATCTATCGATTACTGCTCAAATAAAAAAAATCTCTCGTATGAAAAACCATATATTTTTAAAAAGTCGTTTAGTTGAAATAAGGTCCTCAGATTTTCAATCTGAGTAACAGCTATTTAAAATTAAATAGCTAATTGGATTTAAATTATATGACGAAAGTCTTGTTCTTTTTTTTAACATATTCTGTGAATGGAAATATTATGATGTAAAAGCTCGAACTCACAAATTAAATTTAAAAGCTGCTCGATATGAGACACGATTGATAAATGTTTTGCATCAATCATTTTACGGTGAGTTGTATACATATATGTATCCTCGTTCTGGCTGGCTTATTGGAATCATATGGCAGTCATGGCACTGGCCAATGCGGGCATGTGTTCCCACGCGCGAATGGTTCCCACGCGCACTCGACGGCCTCGACGCTCGAGTGCTCGACGCAACGGGACTGCACGGGACAGTCAAGCCAACGCTAGGTGTCAAACCGATTCTAATGTCATCGCTACGTGAAAGTGTCGGTACGTAACGAGAAGATTCAGGTATGGGGAAGACTACGAGGGTAGTCGTTTGCGGGATGAAAGGAGTCGGTAAGACCGCTTTGCTGGAGCAGCTCGTATATGGAAATATCGACGCGAAAACGGTACGCATTTAGGTTATATCGCTGTCAAGTCAGTCCTCGCGCTTGTGGACACACTGTTAAGGACTGTAATACTGAAATTATCATCAACCCCGTAGGAAATTCATCCCACAATCGAGGACATTTATGTCGCCAACATTGAGACTGATCGCGGCACAAAGGAGAAGGTCAGGTTCTACGACACAGCTGGGCTGGAATCTCTACAGAGCAATGTAAATAATCAGCAGCTTCCACGACACTATCTCGGCTTCGCCGACGGCTATGTCCTGGTGTACGACACTGGCAAACCCGAATCTCTCGATGTGCTCTTCCCGCTGAAGAAGGACATCGACAAGAATAAGGATAAGAAGGAGATAACTGTGATCGTGATTGGTAATCGAACGACGAAAACCGATGCCGCGTTGAATAACTTGGAGAACACTGTGAGCAAAGCGGCTAACTGGTGCACCAGAGAGAAAGTTAAGCATTACGAGGTGAATATCATGGATAGGCCTACTCTATTTGAGGCATTCGTGCATTTGTCGTCCAAGCTTAATCCTCCCGCTAATAAAAGTACATTTTCGCAATTAAGTATGGGTAGGAAGACTGTCAAGACCGAAGCGCAGTGATGCTTGCTTAGAAATTTAATCAATGTTGATTCGGATAAACAGCAATATGAATCCCTCGTGAATTTTGTACTCAGGTATAATGTATTTAACGATAGTTAAACGCTACAATGAAGATATGTTTTGAGATCTCAACGGTATATATATACTTTTCTGTTAATTTTGGATATATGTGATATTAGAAGTGGGATAAATGGAACTTGTAGTCATGAAGACCATGAATTTTATGCATTTAATATGTACTTAAAATACCAACAACTTTGCTGGTTCAAAGCCTTGTTCAATAGAACATTTATTTAATCGAATGAATGCAAATACAAAGCTATTAAAATACAAATTCGTCAATATTTGACTTTATGGCTGCGTTATCACATTTGTTACTTAAAAAACTTATTTTTAGTCATTTGAATGCTATATAGTGCTATAATGCTATAAAAATTTATTAAATCTCTTTATGGATTTATATGTACTTAAATCGCTCGACAGTACTGAAACTATAGTTAAGTTTAAAAGCGAAATTATTGTAAAAATGATATTCTATACTTATTACAATTACAGTTGTGATTATATTAATAACAAATTATTATTTGTACAATACAAATATTAAACAAGTAGATACTATCAGTGTAAAATGTATAATGTATTAGTGTATAAATGTAAATACGTATTTTCTTCAAGTCACCGGTTTCACCATTTTAAAGGCTCATTTAATTTTCGCAGAATTGAATCCGTTTTAAGTATTCGATCCCACAATTCGCTAGTAACTCCAAATCCTGCAAGAGATGACGATTATTTCTCTGTATACTAATACAATATTCGCAGCAGTTACCTTGGTCATGATGTACAAAGTGATGATAATTGTGTCTTCTTTTCATCGTATATAGATATGATCCTGCTATCGGTGCTCCATGGTGCAAGTAGTAATGTATTAAATCGTAGCCCAAATAGCCTATAAATTAGATACATTTAGTTACGAATGTGTGTGTGTGTTTGAAGTAATTTATTTTTTTCTATATATCTTGATGTAATAAAATTTATGAATGTTTAAATATCATACCTATTATGGTACCAGCGGCCACAAGATGAACTGTTGCCAAAGGAAATATGACTTTATAAATTTGCCAAACAACTGCTGCTACAACTAAACTAAATGTCGGTGGGAATACCAGTCTTCGTTCATCCAATGGCGCCTGTGATGTAACTTTTATATATGTATAATTGGCAAAATTAATACGTATCGTCAATGAGTAAATAATTCTGCCTACGTGAATTAGCAAAGTTTTTAGGAAAGACAAAAAACATTATAATGAACATTCTTAGGCCGGTATTCATAGTCGGTTCTTATATTTTTAAGACACCATCTTAAATATAATCTTAAGATGTCATGAACCAATCCCAGAGCCGCATTAGCATCTTAAGACGTTACTTAAGACGGTCTTGAAATAAGAACCGACATGAATACTGGCCTTAATAAACATTGAAACTCATCTGTAAGTAATATGTATGATTATTTACGACCCTGTAGAATGATGATGCGGAATTGAAGCCAGAAAGTGTATTTGGAAAAAATGTCATAAGCGGTATTATTTATTCACAGACGATATTTAAAAGTAAGAATCCTTGACTCTTACCTTGTGATGGCTTCCATGGAACAAAAAATGCAGAGTAATCAGCAATTTCGAATTATGCGGTGGTTTAAAATGAAATACTTTTCGATGAACGAAATATTCCACAATGGTCCAGATAAATAGGCCCAGAACGAAAGACGGTAAAATATTTTGCGCTGTAATCGCTGAAAGAAAATACGCACTTTACAATAGAGTATACGTAGAATATTTAGAAGGATTTTTGTGGACATTACTTCACTATTTTTTTAGTGTTAATACTGTACGAATTACCGATGTTTGTGGAAATATTCGAGACGCAGCCCATATAAAGGAAATACGCGATTATGGGTAGCCAGACAATTGGCAAGATGTACCATGGTGTAATTGATAGTATCTCTAAAATTTCTGATTGGAAATATCGAATGGGCCGGTTTACTGGCAGATTTACCCATTCCCAATATCGATCGCCCATAAAGCCCACTTGCCATAAGAGTGGCGCATTCCAGTTTATCAGATTCTGAAATAAAGCACAATTTTTGTAAATGGTGATTTATAAAGCAGCATTTTTATTTTTCGATTTTGTAAGCATTCGAAGTGTCGTAACAGCTTGTATATAATATTAATAGATATCGCGAAACCAGACATCTGCGACTTTTCATATCGACTTATCTTCACAATTTTTTATCTGTACGTATCGTGAATGTACATTTCGTAGAACCGAGATAAACTCGGAGATAAACCAATTCTATAATACTAGATGTTAATGTCATTTTATTTTTAGCGACTATAAAATAATGACACATCTTCATTATACATATAATATATAATTTAATAATTATGTTTGATCACAACTGATTATCACTTTCAGTTTAAATTCTATTTATAATTTTCTATACGTGAAGTAATCGAATATTATATTTAAAGAATCAGAATATACACATATACGAAATATGTATTTAAAAATTCACACAACACATAAAATTATAAAGTCGTGTCTATCGTGTCTAATGCGAATTATATATTATTATTAATCTGACTGTTTAAAGTGGTTCTTAACATCGAAATGTGCAAATATATGATACAACGTACGCGTAACAACAATTTTTTTCAATAATATAAATGTCGTTTATTACTTTTCATTTATAAATCACTCACTTCGCACTCGTTGTATCTCTCTTGATGTTGCACAGCGAACTCCTCGAGAAGATAGTAGGCGGACTTGGAATGAGGATTTTTTGCTAACTCCTTATCCAACACTTGATCCTTGAGATGTGCGAGCGGGTTTTTTCCGCCGGGATGATAATTCAGGAAATTTTGAATATTATAAACGCGATCGCGATATTTAACGAGAAACTCCGTCGATTCTTTCCGCGACGCGTCGTCACCGCGATGATTTTCCGTTCCATTTGCGTAAACCGTATCGGAATCGATCACTTTAAAAACGTCCCTATCTATGCTCGCGGAATGAAGTGTATTATCAAAGTTTTTACCTTGAGCAGCCATTTCGAAAGGCGTAAAAAAAAAAGGAAATAAACTAGTTACGCGCGTGATGTAAGACTCGGTGCGTACCGTACACGCCAGTGCATTCTACTAAGCTGACGTTGTGTGACTCGGTAAATCGCTGTAACAGATAAGATTTTGCCGTAATGTTATACGTAGGAGGGCTCGATGATCGCATCATGTCTCGTAAACAGCGACACTATCGTATCGAATGCGGTATCTTAGCGATAATCAAGATTACTATTTGCACGTATGTGAAAAGATACGAAATATCTATATACCTGTATATTACATTGGAGCCATACTAATGCATTCCGAAACGATACGCGATAAAGTATGAGTGTGCGCGCAGTAATTAATTAAGTGTCGAGGTTTCAAAATCAAGGATCATTAAGTTCTGTTACGTAAAATTTTGTCATAAATCTCCCACCTCTAAAATTCAAAGATTTGATCTCATTTTTAATATAAACATAAATCTTGTTTGTTACGGATTCACCATTATTTCTCGAATAAAGTCTTTGTGGAATCGCGTGTCCCCGAGTCTCTTAAGAAACACATATTAGAATTTTATGTAACACCGCATGCAATTCTACATCTTTAGAGAAACACCAAAGATACTAGAAGATAAACGCATTTTCGGCAATAAATAAGCTTTTATTTAAACGCTTTGAATCTTGTGTACACTGTGTCCTAGTAAACGTCTAAAGTATCAGTCGCTAAAAGTATTGCGACAATGCTCAAGTTCGAGGACAAATTACAATTTGAGCATCCGCGCTATCAAAAACGTACTTAGTGTGTCGAGCAATTATAAATACAATCGGAAGTACTCGTTTGTTTATCGAAAACTACCCCATTAAAGTAGGTCGCACTAAAATATAATTACCTTTACGCACTGCATAAACCTAACGAACGAAAAGTAATAATACTCGCGCGTTCGCTTAATACTTACACGTGTATAACTTAAGAAAATTTCGCAAGGTAGAGGGAATTTCTTTTTCTTTTCCAACATGGAGTGCACGTAATTGAACTTTCTCAGCAGCCTAAGACAGAACTATCCAACATTAATTATGTCATTTATAACTATATGTACATATCATTTCGAGGAATTACCGAGCGCGTGTCGGACACAAACGGTTTAAGTGAAACTCGAATGTATACAGAAACGAGAGGACAAGCGTGTTCTCTGTGTTTATTTGTTTAACGGTGCCATTTAAATTTTTTATTTACTCGATAAGAAGATAGGCCAAGAAACTTGTATTTAAATTCTTGAAACGTTAAATCGTCGAGAATGATCTTATGGGATTTACAAATATACGCGGAGAGTTTGATTCGAGAAAAAGGAATGTCGCGTGACGATTGAAGATGTTCTTTAATCCTTAACAAGTGACGTGGAAGAAGTTGACACAATTAGTGATGAGGGATCTTTCTCTCTTTCTCTCTCGCTCTCTTTCTTTCTTTCACACATACACACACATATAGATTTCTTTGTTAAATCTTTTTCTTGGTTCTCTTGGATCTAATGTCTGACTTAATTACTTTTATTAATTTTCTAAAATATTTAGGAACATAAAAAAATAAGAGCTAGAAATAGTTATTTTGAGATTAATTTTAATTATTTGTTCATCTTGCGTATAAACGAAAACTAAAAGATAAAATTACCGGATCTGCAATACCCTACATTCTCTGTTATAGTCAATGTACATCACATTAATTTCTTTTATTCAAATATACTGAATAAAAATACTTCTCAGTTCCTCAAAATAAAAAAAAAATTTTTCGGCTTTTTAAAGCAGTAGAAAAAATATATGTATAACATCTCCTCTTCTGAACAAAAACTCTTTGTTTTTTATCAAGATTCAACGAGATAGATATAATTTGATGTGTTCTTTTATAATAAGGAGTAACAGTCTTCTCTTCTGCATCTGCCCATTCTCTTGCAATATGTTTGCGATGAAATTAATCGCATTTCCGATAATTAATTACAGTTTAGATCAATCCAAATAGTAATTAATCATCGCTGTTTTACTTATCATTTACCTGGTATATCTCTAATCGTAATAAAATTTAAGAAATAATAGTTTAAATTAAAGAAAAAAAATTCAATTCAATCTTTGAAAATAATAAATACGTTATTGTATGTAACACGCGCGTTGTTTAAAGCTATGTTTAAAATTAAATCAATAATACAAAAACGATGCGATCTTTTTACACCTGGGATGATGTAGGACGACCTCGGACGGTATGATAAAATTTAAACTTAAAATTTAAACACATTTAAAATAACGACGTTTAAGGAAAACCGGTTTTTGCTGCGTCGTACGTTTTACATTCGGCCGACGTTATCTCGCCGATTCCTTCGGAACGATGAATAACTATCGCTTATCGTACAACTCATATTTGTATAGAAAAGAAGAATAGTTTGCGCAACGGTCTATTTGAGTCCGCTCTGGCGTAATTTCTAAGTTTACGTCCCTCGTGCACGAAGAGAAGGACAACATGCTTTTCAATGGAAAATAAGGAAAAAAGTAAACAGATACGGATGTATGTCGTCACTATTCTAAGCGATTCGAAAAATAGGTACCTCACCAGAGGTATATCAATTTAGATGCGATTTTTGTGGCGTAACGCCACGAGTTAATACTATTTACAAATGGCACACACGCGTTAACGCATTCGTTTCATCGAATTCGTAATGTCATTAATATAATGATCTCCCCCGATCGCTCTCTTATTATACATTCCGCATCGTCTCCCTTACAATCTCAGCGCGAGCCGTTGACGCATTCGATTACGCAGCACCGATCACTTAACTTGACCTTCTGTCGGCGAATTAATTTCATTCCCGGTGCTGCGTACGTTCTCGCTGATTCGTGCGATTAATCGATCGCAGTTCAAAGTATGTACAATATAAATAAGACAAAGAGATGATCAACGGTGGCGTTTTTCCCGTGCTCGGATCGCACCTGCGCGAAACGAAGGACTGCCTCGCGCGACTAATTCGCACGGCGAACGCGAATCGCAATTAATTTTCTTTATTATTGACATTACAGTTATTCGACCGACGTTTTTTTTTACATCAATACATATATGTCATCACATTGTCTCACAGGCGAGAACTTAGAGGATGGGGCTAGGCGTACCGACCACACGTTGATCATCCGTCCTAGCGCGGAATCGGCATATATATAATATCTCCGTACCCAAAATAGCTGGACCAGCCAAACGATGCTGTGAGCGCCCCGCGCGCGAGGGGCCGCTTCCCGAAAGAAAAATCTGTCAATCTCTTGCAATAGCCAATAGTGGAAGGCTCCCGCGCGTAATCGCAGAAATGAGCGCGAGATATTTCATGCAACACACGATGCCAAGTTTAATCTACCAGCATAGCCTGCACCGGTAATGTATCTTATCGAATGTCATAATGGCACCGCGCAAATTCTCGTGTCTCCTGGCGAAATTAGCGGTAAAGTAATCTAAGGCGTCGCTTCTGACATTTTCCTACAATGGTTAAATTAATGATATCCCGCAGCTAACCGATAATGACTGCGTATTTGAATAAAAATAAAAAATGAAAAATAACTTTAATGACGACTTTAAAATCAATAGGGATAATTACTTTCTTGCGTAACGTAATCTTATTAATTATCAATTAAAAACGTAATTTACGTAAGTTTAATCGTTTGCCGAACTGAACGCCGAACGTATCATTATGCAGAATCTAATCGACCGTGTTTCCTTTCCATTTATGTAGGAAATACTAAATTAATTAATTTTTGAAAAATCAAATATGTAAAAATATATGTACATTTTTATGTCATTATTTATATTATATTGTACATATCTATACGTATAAAAAAATGTATGCTTTCCAAACTCAAGAACATATTATACTTATGATATAAATATATTTGTAATATAATATAAATACACATTAATATATCTCTTCTTCCTCTTATATAAAAGTATAAAGTAATTTTCTGTTTTAAAAATGTATTAAGCAAACATGAAATCCAGAAATTAATGAAAAAAATTATTAATTCGTTTAATATCTGACACCTATTTTTTAAAGAATATTTTTGGAAGCAAGGTCGATCAATTCTGGACTGTCATGACATGCGTAAGGTAGAACCTCGAAGGAATCGAAAAAATACACATTACACCGGGACCATATAGAAAACATTAAACAAATCGGCTACGTTTGGCTAACAATTCGACTATGTTGAATTTTATTGTCTAGTCTCTCCAACCGTCCCTCTTCTTCGTAGATCCAACTACCGATCTATTTTAAAAAATTGCATTTAATTAAAATCGAATTGACACGGACGAAATCAGGGATCCCACGTCCGATCGTCTCCATATCACGCGATACTAAAAAGCCAGAACATTCTATTCTCCTCGCTAATTTTTTTTCCGCTATATACGCCTACTGTAATTCACCTGGTGATTCGCGATCTTACCTGGAAGTGTGATACACGACGGACAGAGTTTGAACGCTGAACCGTCGTGACGCAATTGGTCGTTCTCTTGCGCTACACCTCTAACAATTGTATTCCAAATTACGTATTGCTTTTAGTGGCGCCGCGATCCGACAGATTGAGCTCGATTTATGACGAATTCACGGTTTACCCTATATTCATTTAACGCAAAGATATACGAGTATGTGTACGAGAAGAACGATCGACGCACTCTACTTTTCGAACAAATGTACAATAAGCGAACGCGAACTTTTTGGAAAATCATATCGAACGCAAAAACATAGAGTTCGACATACTCTATGTCGAACTCTATGTTTTTGCGTTTGATACAACTCTTTCATCATCGGATACATTGGATCATTAGAAAGAGTTTTAAATAACTTCGTATGTTCGCTGCTCATTTATTGTTCACTTGCTCAATATATTCGATTTTAAAGACGCACAGCGCCCTGAGAGATATCAATAATTACAGATATATAAAGACAGAATTTTTTAAATCTTTACATCAAATTTAAAAATTTTCAAATACAATTTAATTTTTATTCAGAATTTGAACAGATTCTATAAATCACAAATAATCTTTTAAATCAGAGACGACAAGATAATAATATATACATAATATATATACTAACATAAATATGTATAATTATATACATGTATATATATTATTCTTTGTTAAAATCTCTTTTCCCTCTCTGAATAATTTACAAATTAATGACCATAAGTCAAAATAAATATATTACTTATGTGTATAATTATTTTATGTAATAATAGAGAGAATGAATTTATTTTACAAATTTTGATCGTAATTTAACAAACCAGTTTTAGGTCTTTATATATGTGTAATCTGATATCTGTTATCGTACAGATCAAACGGAAAAAGTCTCGCAGATTATGCGTTTTTAATAGTTCATTACTTCCATTTTGAAGGCCCTACCCTTCATCGCTTTGTTAGCCATTTTACTCATAGACGATGCGGTATTCGGCGCGTCATCGTCGCTATTAATATCTTCATCTTCTTCCGGGAAGTCCTCGAGCCGATCGTGATACTCGTCAAGCTGAAAAGTAAGAAATTCACAACATTGTAAAATATTTATTAAAGTGTGATAAATCAGCTAGAATAATTATAGAAGCCACGATCTTGGCTTTTGGAATTAAAGTACAGCGTCAAAATAATTACTCTTTTTAACTGCAGTTTGCGGACTCGCTAGTAGTAAGAATTATCTTTCCGATTCTGAAAACCGCATGTAAGAAGAGAAGCTATTTCAATTTCAACCGCCAAGATTGTGTAACCCTCGCCAAAAATCGAAAGGTTTAGTATCATAAGTGATCAAGGTTTTGCATAAACTTCTGTTCGGCTTCCGTTCGCATTCAACACCGCGTGAGAATCGAAAAAACAAATAGCACATACTTCCAAACAGAAGCTATTTATGAGCGCCCGATTCCCGCAAATTTTCAGCTCGCGATCGAGGTGCCGTAAATAGCCTGTATACTTCTGAGCTGTTTGCTTTCTCATTTCCGCATGGCGAAAAGGCTAGCTGGACAAGGACTTGGAACGATCTATGTGAATAGGCAATTTGACAGTTGACAGACCACTTCTAATTCTCAACCGATCAATTATACTGTCCTATACATACATGAGCATTTCTGGTGAAGCTTCATTCCTGGTGAAGCATAACGTGAATCCTGATGAGAGTTGTGGGATTATCATGTTTGACATGCTAATCAGGCCAAACTTTGGGACAGGACACATACTTACCAAGCATGCTGATTTATTGCATTAATGAAGTGTAGATTTATATTTCGTAATTTCTTATAGCAAGAATTTAGTAGAAAAATATTACAATTATTACTACTGTCCAATTTGCAGAATTAATTTTTGTAATCTGCACCAATTATAAATCTCATTGATTTGGTAATATAACGTGATGCTATGTTAAACATACAGTATTTGAGAGATGGCGTAAATTTAGACATACATAGACAGACGTATTTTTAAATTAGAATATTAGCGTAAATCATTTTTGGGGGAAAAAATTTGTGGGAAAAAATTTCAAAGAAGATTTTTAATTATTATCGTCTTTCTTTTTCTTTAAATGTTTGTTCATCTTATTTTACAAGGATTTGAAAGATCTGCATTCTATCAATCGATCATGCATTCTATCAATGATGATGATGATGATGACATACTTGGAAGAGCGTATAAGATTTATTTAAAGATATCGGCATAGTATCTCATTAAATAATCGTGCAATCAATCGCAAATTCAAACTTGAAGTACGATTTATCGCGTAGTAAAAAGGGAAAACAGTCAGGATACAGAAACTAGAGCCACGATGTTTACGATATGCGCTGACATCGCGTGCGTGTGACGATGAATGCACTAGGAGTAACATTCAGAGGATGCATTCCCAAAAGTTGATACTGCGAACTCACGTGTAACGTAGCTACGGGGATATCGAGTAATCGACGTTACCACAGACAGAATGGATGCTTACCTACAACTGCAGATCGTACGTTCAATTGTGAGTTACCTAAAGTGTCACGTACGCACACTTAATTGGATCATCATGAGAAACAGCTTGCGCAACAACTCGGGGGGGGGGGGAGGGGAATCGATATAAGCAACATTTATGAGTTCATTTTAATCGCGCAAGGCCACACTGTTGATCAAACGGCATGACATTCGTTAGTGCGCTAATTAAGCTATCCCGTTTGAACAGGAGCTATCTCGGAGGGGGGTACACAACTACTTATCCGGAACAATTATATTAAGGGAAGGAACAACGCTACTCTCGTTCAAAACAATTAGCTCAATGGGGAAGGGGGCAACGTGCGTTCATTTATCTTCGAGTCGTCCAGTCTGTAGACTCTGTCGCGGATTTTACATACATTCCATCACGAACGATCACAAGGCACAAATATTTCTATTGCTATTTTCGCGGACGATATTTTTCTTAGCGTAAACTTTCTTTCAAAATAACTCATTGAGTTTCTACTTTCATAAATATGTATATATAGCTACAATCGCAATTAAAGCTGTACTCACGTCAACGTCGCCCATCATTTCTTTAGTAGAAACGGTGGTGTCGATACGTCGAATACTGCCTTGATGTATATCCACGTCGAGTTTTACCAATTGGAATCGACGTAAAAGGAAAACGATGGGAATCGGAGCGACACCTGCGAAAATAATGACGACGGCGATCCCCAGCACCCAGCCAGGATAACTCGTGAGCACTGCCTTACCCTGACAAAGCGAAAATATTTTTACGATGTGACATAATTATATATGAAAGATTATATATTTTAATTATATATTTCAGTATATAATCTTACCGTTGCCGCATTCCACGCCGAATATTGCGGTTTCTCGATGATCATGGAACCGATACTGAACAGAAGGATGCAGACCATTATTATAGGAGCGAGAAATCGCCACGTAATTTGCCAATAAGGCCCAGGTTTATATCCGGTCATCTCTTCGATGTCCTTCGTAAATCTGCAAAGCACTCGCGCGATTAATCTATCTCATTCGGAGAAGAGGATCACCGTCGCGGTATATTCAACTTACTTTTCGTGGCCGTACACGAAAATCACGGAGAGCATTTCCATCAGGGCGATTATAACGAGACCGATGGTGCCGGCGAAGCTGTCAAACATCTTCAGCCAATACTCCCCGGCGCCGGTACAGAAGATGAGCCCCACGAAAAAGCATGTGACACAGACAACTCCTGCAGTCATAAGTTATGCAATTAAAATGGATATTTTTTTATCGGTGGCTTTTTTGGCCATAATATAATGTTAATAGAATGCGCTTACCTGTCACGTATTGCTTCTTTATTCTCTTGAAAAGATCTATGTCGAAGATTACGCAGAGCATACCCTCGAGTAGTCCGATTTGTGAGCCCAGGCCAAGGGCTAGAAGCATCATGAAGAAAATGCAGGACCAAAACGGCGCGCCCGGTAGTTCCACGATCGCCTGGGTAAAAACGATAAAAGCCAGTCCGGTGCCCTCGGCAGCCTGTGTGAAAGAAATTATCATTTAATTATTTCACAACCATACGACCAACGAATTCGCGAGATTGTTTATAGCTCACGTTGTCCAATTCGTTGCTGATATTGCATCTCAATGTGATGTTCATTGCCTTTATGGCCTCCGAGGAGTTGGAAATAATGAGATCGTAGTCCTCACGGTTGAACGAGGTCGAATTATCCAACAGCCCATCTTGTATCAGGGCGCTAAAATAAAAGCGATTTAACATATCTTCTGTGTCCCTCTGTTCTTCGCCAACGACAAGTATATCCCGTCCCGTCCCATTATGACTCGATCCCTCCCGTTTCTACATGCTCAACCATCGACACGTCTGACACTTGCAATCTAATTAAATTAAATTGTGATGTACCATGCAAGTATACATTAATAATGTAATTGATTCTTGCAGTTTAGTTTCAACAATATCACTAACATGAATTGTTGTACATTATTAATGTAACTTTTTTACAAATCTTAATTTAATTAAGATTTCTGCTAACGTGCGTTATTATATATTAACTGCTTAAGCAAAATGATAACAATGCGCTTGCAAACTAACAACAAATTGGCAGCAAATATCGAGTTAAAAACTTGCCGTAATTACTTTACGTAACTCGGCCTTTCAACGTACTATTTAAAAAACATGTCGAATAATCGAGCTACATAATGGACAAGTCATGCTTGCTATTTGCTGCCAATTTGTCATTGTATTACACCGTGCATATTCTTGCTCGATTTTTGCTGTTAGACTAGCAAATCTTGCGCGGTTTTTAACGCCATCTTGCTCTCATTTAATGAGCAATAAGTTACGTTACATTTCTGCTGTCGTTTTGTAAAGATTAATTTAATTAATGGATTTTGCATCAAATCTGCCGTTTTTCTACCAAGGAAATTTGTTGCAGATGCTTTATTTAAACTTAGCTAACTGGAAATAGTACAATTGTTAAAAGCGACGACACGCATATCTTCTATCTCGAACAAGCGGCAACAGCTATCATGGTCGTTTAAAGATACACATCTCCGCAGCCGTGGACATTTTTTCTACCCTCTTCGCGATGGCGAATTTAGAAACGATGGCCGCACTTGCGGTCGCATTACCTGACGACGCACTTGTCCACGTTTGACATTGCCTTGAACCCCAAAATGGCGAAAATGACAACGCTCGCGTAAATGGCAGTAAACGCGTTGCACACGCTCACCAGGATCACGTCCCTCACGCAGTTGTTGTTGGGTGTGTTGTAGCTGCCGAAAGCGATCAGGGAGCCGAACGCCAGCCCGAAGCTATAGAAGACCTGGGTCGCCGCGTCAAGCCAGACCTTGGGATCCAACAATTTCTCGACCTTGAACGAATAAAGTAAATGTCACATTTAATGCTCGACATATCGCTTTTTCGCAACGCTTTCCTCGTTAAAGTCAACCTCGATCGGGATCGATCGTTACCTTTGGCGTGTACATGTGCGCCAGTCCAACGCTCGCACCCTTCAATGTTATCCCGCGGATGAAAAAGATGGTCAGTACCAGATACGGGAACATGGACGTAAAATATACCACCTGGAAGAAAGGATAATTTGTCATCACGATGGCAAAAGAATGATCGCTGAGATCAATCCCGTCAGCATGATTAATATTAATCGACATTAAGGAAATCGATTTTGATCTCTATTGAGCTTACTTTGCCGGACGATTGTATTCCCTTCATGACGATGAAAAACACAATGGTCCAACTGAACAAGAGACAAAGTACGATCCACCACTTGAGACCTTGGCCGTCATCAATGGATGGTGCCGCGTCCAAGGTAGTCCTGTACCAAAAATACGCGGTCTCCGAACTCTTGACACATTCCTCGACCAGTTTCCCGTCCGATTCCTTTGGGCAATTTTCCCATGGCAGTGGTTTCTAAATTGCGTCAGAATATGCAAATAGATCATCAATATACGCTTTAACGGGCATACTGTTATTACGATGTAAAAGCTAAAGTGACACTTTGAGCGCTGAATTGAGAGACCATCAGCATTATGACAAAATTTACATATTATAGCTTCCTTATGCAATTTATATATAATAATATTTATAACTATAACAATACAATACAGTATTGCTCATTAATTATAAAAAATTGATACTTACACCAAATTTGATCGTGACAGCCTAATTGAAACATGAAAAAAGATAAATGTCGTTAATAGTTTGTAAATTTATAGAAAATATTGATAGTATATATCTTTTTTTTTACGAAGGCGCCATTAATAATTACATTTAAACGTAACATTTTAAGCATTTTTAATTAATAAATTTAAATTATTTATAAAAATTAAAATATTTATTAAATACTAAAATCCTTTTATTTGCTTACAATTGAAAAATTTCTTAATTTTTTTTAAATGTTTTCTTATAATTGAATCTCTATAAATATATTTACTAGAACATGATTTTTATCATGATGTACTAGCAGACTTTAAACACTTCGTATCACCGTAAGCGACGTCTTTCATTACCTATTTAAGTCTAAACTGTGAAACAGCGGAGTGGGGGAGAGTCACTTAGAACGTCTCGACGCAGATTACCGTGGCGTCAATCGGTGCTACGAACCTTATCGATCTGCTTACCTCGAGCGAGTTGAAGAGGTAGAAGACGCACCAGGTAATAATTACGTTGTAGTAAAGCACAACGAAAAACGTCACTATACACGACGCGATCCCTATACCGCCTAGCCAAGGGTGTATTGTGTTCCAAACACCGAGGGCACCCTGCCGTATACGTTGTCCGAGACCCAGCTCGATCAGGAAGAGGGGTACACCCTCCAAGATGAGCATCACGAAAAAAGGAATGAGGAAGGCACCTAAAACATACACACACACACATACAAATATCGCTTCAACAAGTTTTTAACATTAACGTTATAGATGCTTATGAAATTATTTGACCAAAAAATATAATTTAATTGTATATAAATATATCCTATAATTATTTTTAGCAAATCATAATGTTTAATCGCTCTCTTAGTTTGTTTATCAATATCAAATCAATATTTCGTTCGAGTGAGAGATTTTCTACTTTATAACATCGTCTCATCCGCTTTTTTGTATATGTATATATATATCCCCGGTCCCTAACAAGGTCTTCTCTCCCTTTGCCTTTAGGATGTCTAGTTCCGCGTTCGTAGAGAGAGCTGGAGCGCCTCGTATTGATCGAGTAACCTAAGTCCTAACCCGTTCAGCCACTCCACCACTTCGACGGTTTTTTTTGGTATTCATATACAAACTATTATAGAACTAAAGAGGAGGTCGCGGATCGGAAAACGTTAAGATACGCATAACCAATTGAGTTGCATACAAAGTAGTAGAAAGGTAATAGTATAATTTTGAAATTCAGTAATTGATTAATTATTATTATTATATCCTGACTGTAGCTTTTTAAATTTTAGCGTTGATATTTGATTTAATATTAATAGAGACATATAGAGGCTGAAAATTTGCTGAAGAAATACGGGATATCGATTTCGATCGCGATTGCGTTTTCGCAGCTCCTCGCGAGCTTTGATAACACGATGTTGCGGTAATTGATGCGTCGTTTAACACCTAAACGGCGCGTAATTCAAGCTCTCTGTGTTTAAAGCCGCTATTACATTAGAGCCGCGAACCACGACGGCAGATGTTAGGTCGTCGCGTGCTTTCCGTTACACAGTGGTATGGATCGATCGATGGGCGTTCGGCGACGCGGACGCGGACGCGGTATACGGCGCAACGAGAGGAAATTTCCATTGAAAGCTGAGCCTTTTGACTCGTTTAGTCTAAAGGTGTGCGTATAATCCACGTGCGACTGAGAATCATGAAATTCAATCGCCGACAATGACCTGCGGTTATGCACAATTTCTTGCGCCGGTGACGGTCGGTGTGGAAATTTAATGTCAATCGGTAATTAACACGTCTGTTATCGAAGGCTCAACAAAATTTAACATGCTTTTTTAGTTACGTTTACTACTACTATATAGTAAAACAATTAGTATAAAAACTTCTACTTTTTTAAGTGAAATCTTCCCTTTCTCGTTTTAAATCCACGCTTTTTAAAAAGTGGGTCTACGATCGGTTGGAAGGGAGCCTCCTCGATCTCTCGGGAGCGCGACATTGAATTCAGCGATATCACGACATCGTTTAACTCTGGATCTCGATCGTAAGTGGGTTGCCTGGTACTTTCAGACAAAGGTATTACCCCTACGGCAACGAGATAGACGTTGGGGCGGCACGATAATCTCGTAATTGGAAACTCGATCTGCGCAGAGTTGCTGGATATGGTAACCGATATGATTTCGGCGTGTATAAACTCCGGCGTCATAATCACGCGAGGGCCACCCGTGCACCTCTCGTGACCTACCTCCGCGAAAATAGACGTATGTTAAACAGCCGTTTGTCCGTTCGTGATTGATAAGAAGGGCCGCCTCCCAAAGCGGCGGCGGGCTTAAAATAATTCGAGATAGATGAGTGAAATTTCACGGGCCAACGGGCGGGTATTTTCCATCTGAAAAATTCCATCCAAATTGCAATTTTACGGGCTGTATACGCGGTGCTAAACAAAACGTCACATCGCTAATATGTCTAGTATTTGCAGTTGGTTGACCTTTAACGTAATGTTGAATTAAATCAGGTGTAACCTTGAACTAACTTTATCTCGATGAATAAGATATGGCCTTTCTCTATGTATTGATTCTATATTCACATGTCGCGATAAAATATTTTTAACGTTAAATACACGTAATATTAATAATCCGAATTATGTTGATTATAAATATTTCTGTAGGATATTTTTTGACAACATATGTAAACGATGTGATCATAAAATGCCACAATTATGTTTTCTCTCGGAGATTGATTAACTTTCACACTTATGTAGAGAGAGAAAGAGTCTATAGATTCTTGTAGTATATGCAAGTATACCTTTCATTATACATACACGCGCCATTTTTCCACGCAAAAAATTCATTTAATAAAAAGATGATACGCTAGCAACGTAAAGCAAATGCGCCGTCGCTTTCTGATTAAACGAAGAATAATGAGGAACGGCTAATTAAAGTAGAGTCGACTTATTGCAAAAATCTGTGGAAGAGTTTCAAACGAAAAAGCTTATTGCAAGAAGAAGACTTATTACAATATTTGTTTTAAAAAAATAAATCATCGGTGGAGAGTTATAAGATTTAAATAAAAATACTAGAACAACGTCATTTATAGAGTGTTTTAGAAATAGGAACGGATCAAATAGACTCAAACGGAACTGAAGTATTAATGAAAATTGAATGAGCTCTGCACGCAGCTGAACCATTCATCATGAATTATAATACGCCGTGAAGCACGATCTAGTTACTATAATATTAATTTTTCAGTTTGTTGCGATGCCAGTAGATAAGTGATTTATTATGTATATTAGTATAGTATTATATTAAATAAAACTGGCCAAAGAAATGTGAAGGGAAAAAATGGTATATCTTCAGCTAACGATAAGTCAAAAATAAATATGATTTGTTACGAAAGTTTTGTAATATGTGCCGAGCGTATTAAGTAGTCGCTGAAATTGATCGATAGGAAAATGCGTCTCTAAGGATGGGAGCACGCGAAATATTTCGTAGCCAGTTATATTTAACCCCGGCGTGGAACTGTGGGATACCTGAAAATAGTCGTTGACTACTATAGCCATGCGCTTATGTCGGCTCCACTGCCCTCATATCGAGCAGCCTTGTCCTTGCTCTTTTTCGCTTTATACATCCGACGCCGATAGAGACCGACGATGACGGCCGTAAGTTGCAACAACTATTTCCAATGTATGCAAGTTTACGGTATGCACGTTGACATACGTCAACACTTGTCGCGTATCGGGCAAACCAACATACACGTAATTCGAACAAGTCAATTTTACACTTTTCGGAAATCTTATTCAAAATCTTTGCCGCGTATCTCTAGAAGGCCGAATTCTTGGAAGGCAAATGAGATAGAAAATGAAATCGCTATATCTTCTTTAGTCGAGTGGTATATAAAGCTTTCAAGAATTCCAACTTAATAACGTGTGCGATATAAACAGAAAATACAACAGTCTAGTTTCGGAGATCATAAATTCGTAACTTTTAAATAACTTTCCACGAAAAGATTGAAAAGAAATTTTTTGCTTTGCCAGCAATAACTAACAAAAATAATTGTTTAATTCGACCCAACTAGCCACATTTATTGAATAGACTCTCCACAACGTTTTGATCATTGCTTTTTTATCCTTATCAAGTGCAAATCTACGTATAGCTTTCCATGAATACTATTTAATTTATCATCAAGCCTTTCCTATCGAACAAATACAATCTTGTAAGCAGTATAGACACTGTCGCTCTATTTTATAGTGCATCTGTGTGAAAAAAAAACGTGCTATCTCGAGGCTGCATCAGCGTGGTTGCTGCAAGAGACATGTATATCTCAATAACATATATGGACATTATAGGTGTGCTCATACACGTGGGAAACTGGAGTTTACCTAGCTATCCGTTGACACGCACATGGTTCAAGAACACCCCGAGGTGTCGCCTGCTGTACGAAGGTCGCAAAAATAAAAACACACCAATAATAAACACAACACCGCGCTCGGGCATGTACGTTAAAATAATAATCTAATTTGCTCCACACTTACGAACAAATTCTAATTAGTCGTAACTTTATCGTACATTTAACGCGTAATTTGCACGATCGCGCTTATCCGTGCGTCACGATTAGCCCGATCGACCCTATCGACACTCACCACCTCCGTTCTGTTGGCACAGATAAGGAAACCTCCAGATATTGCCCAGGCCAACGCTGTATCCGATAATACTGAGAAAGAATTGCATTTTTCCGCTCCACGCCGCCCGGTTCTCCTCCTTCGTCTCCTGGCCAACATTTTGACTTGCCGTCGCGACGATCGTCACGTTGTGGCCGGGTTGGCGGTGGTTGTTCAAGGGAGCCAGCTCGTGCCCATTTCTTCCGGCCTCGACTACCATTCTCCCGTGGATCTCGATGGGTACACAAAGAATCGATCACTCCTCCCGGCGGGTGGTGTGACTTAATTGAGATCTTTAGCACACTCTTTTCGTGTTTGTTCGCGCCCAGGCACACCTGCGCGACTCCACGTGCCACTTCTCTCTTCTCCACTTCCTGCCCACTCGTTTATTTCCCCTTTTCCCCGTGTATATACACGAATTGACGATCTCCCGCTCTTCAAAATCAATTATCGACGCGATTTGGCAGGAACACGCGTATCTTGGCGTCCGCGAGAAACCTCGCGAAAACCCTTCACTGTTATATTACTACCACTACCACCGCCGCGCTCTGCTCGTTGACTTCAACGGGAGCGGATGGGCAGCGAGCGTGCAGCGATAACAGGGGGGGATAACAATAATGTTTAATTAACAACAATAACAATAACAATAGCAACAGTAGTTATCTTCACTATTTATTTTGTAAGGTCAACAGCGTCCGCACTATCGCGTCCGAAAAAAATACTGAGATCGGTCCTTCCCTCCTCAAGGAGTAACCGGCAACAATTCGTTTCTTAATATTAAGCGTACACCCCTTCTTTACGAATTCTGCGATGAAAGGAACGGTTCTTTATCCGAGTTCCGTTCGTCTCTCTCTCCGGTACGTGCCCCGACGGTACTCCTTATTGACTGTTTGCGGACGCATACGCGGCCGCGTAGAAGTGGGCTGCGGCCAGGATGGCAAAGGTGCGAGGTACGAGGAAGGATACGTCATAGGATAGGCTAGGACCTATTCGCGAAACGGAGTGGGTGGCACGTAGGTGACCCGATAAAAATCGAGCGCCGGCTGACGCGATGTATACGATGAGTTGCGAGGGAAGTCCGGTGGGCCCCGCGGGTCACGTGTCACACAAGTCCTCGCCGTCGAAGGATATCGACGACCCAGAACGCGGGTTCGGAGGATATCGCCACGGCCGCGCGAGGTTTCAACGCGCGCTACCCGACATTGACGGAAGAAGCGACGGGGGTCGCAAGGGGGTTGCGGCGCACCTAACGTTTTACGTTTGGAAGCAATCGTAGCGTGAAAAACGAAGTGAGAGAGGGAGCGAATGAAAGTACGCGTGTCGTTAATAGCCGCCGTCGGGACGAAATATCGATCGACACTCCGCGCGCGGAAGTGGATACCGAAATGAGGGAGAGCGTTAGAGAGGAGAAGACAAAAGAGTGAGAGATAAAGAGAGAAATAAGAGCGAGAGAGGAAGGGATGAAAGAAAGAGGAACGAGAGGCTCCGCTGATTTCTGGCTTCTCGAAGCAACGGTGACACACGACGCGACGTTCGGGATTTCAAGTAGCCTCGATGTTCACAGAGGGTGTTCTCGGCAGCCCTTAAACGAAAAGCCCTCTTCAGCTTCGAGTCGAAATCGGCGTATATCGGTATAGTCTTCCTGCCTCATGAGTCGTATTCCTTTAAGTCGCTGCCGTTTGCGAATCGATGTGGTCGGAAGTCACGAGGTCAGCATCGTAGTTGATCTTCCTCGGCTGGATGACTCCGAGGAAGACGTTGCGCCTCTCGACGTCGTCGCCGTCGTTGTTTCAGAATTTGATACGAGACCTCGGGAAAATTCTGTTATCGGGTTTATTATTTAATTTATTATTTAAACTCGGTGATCCTCGGACGGGTCGGACTGACGTCGCCGCGGACGCGCGTGTGCCGTTGAAGAGCGAGACTTCCCTGGCGTTTGGTACCCATGTGTACCGCTCCTCCGCTTCACCCGCCAAGTCCGTGGCCAAGTGTCCGTTTCCTCGTTTTTGTTGCCTCACGTTACTCCGACGTGGTTCCGTCAGCAGGAAATGCGAGAAGCGACGACGAGAACGGCAGAAGCCCGCGTAAAATATATATTTCGCGCACCGCGCGTGTGGCTGGCTCGGTGTGGGCTTGAATATGCGCCTCGCACGAACGTCGATATCGGACTGAGCCGACGCTGGTGCGCGACGATGTGCGCGGAGGGAACGGACCTACGGAACGGGAACCTCTGGAAGCGACATCGACGTCTGTAGGTCTGTACAATGCGACGAAGGTTCGCTCTACCGGTGGTCCGGTGGCCCCCGATTGGCCGTGGTAATTGTGTACGTACGCGCATACGCCGGCCGACCGACCCCTTTTAAACGGTGAAGAGCCGGGTAGCGCGAGCGTTGTTATCTTATTATATTATAGAGCAGAAGAGGTGACGGTTCGCACATAATGGGGTGGAAACTATTTGAGACGTCGCGCAGCGCGATTTTTTTTCTTCCACGGAATATCCGAATTTCAAAGATTATTACAGATGTAATCCGGATCGCAATTAGTGCGCATCGAAATTAGTAAAAAAATAGCGATTTGATAAAAAATTATTATAAGCATCCCGATTAAATTTTTATATCAATCAATAATACCTCGCGCGATAATCTCATCCTGTCGCCGGCTTTTCAACGAAGGCCGCCGAGGGATGACGCCGAGAGCGCGCGCCAATGTAAATTTAGAGATAAACCGCCAATCTGCGTCATAACTCTTCATCAAAACGTTTCGCTAATTGTTTTCCGTGCGTATTCTCGTTGATCTCTTAGCATTTCAAGATGATGAAATTGTTTTGCTTTGTCGCTTACGTTTCAGTGACGTATACGTTTCGACACGCGGCACGTTTGAACTTCGCGGGTCTCTTCTGGGGTGGCGAGGGTAGTTTTAAACTGACGAACCGGTGCCATCGATCGGATTGTTGTTTCCATTAAGGGGTAGTAGAGACACATTCGGCGGCCGCGCAGCTTCCCACGCGTCATCGTTTCCATCGTAACCGCTTCGATCGAAAAGCTTCCGCAGCGTATATCCTCGTAACTAGGCCTCCTGGGGGTATCCAAGAGCATCTTAATCCTCATCCGACTCACTTCATCCCCCTCGACGAAAAAAAAGCAATTTTCGCTGAGATAATTGCTTAGCGGATATTCTTGGCAAACTCATCAAGTTCACGTATCACTAAATATCTGAAAATGAATCGAAGGCGATTGAGGACAAAATAAATATAGCTTTACTTTTTTGGCTACTTCCATTTCTGTACCTTAGGTAAAGAATCGCATCTCTAGTTTTTGTCAAAATGAAGTTAATTCACTTTTTCCAATATACTATAGGAGTTTAAATTGTTATATAATGATAAAGAGTCCATTATTACTAAGATACAATGTTTAGAAAAAATCGTATTGGAAATTTTCATAGAAATTAAAAAAAACCTAATTTTTTCTCTTTTATATACCGAAGGTATGATTCTTTACCTCTATAAGGTACAGATTTATTGTAATAGTTTTTATACGTATTACATATTTTACCATATTAAAAAGATACGTTGCCTTTTATTCCCTCTTGGCAAGATTCTTCAGATTCTTGGCAAGCTCGTGACGTCGGTGACCAAAGACGGTCGCGATCACTCCGTGACGTCATTCGACGCTATAGCTACTGTACTATCTCTAGAAGACAAAACGTTTCACGGGATCTGCCCCGAGCTTGCTATAAGCATAGGTACATAGAGGCGGGTCAGTCAGTAGCTTCATCGAGTTACGTAAGCGGTCGCGTAACCTTTCGACCTTGTTCTCGAGTCTTCACTATCCGCCGCTCCGTGTATCACCGTTTACCTGATTTGCATCGCGTAAACATTAATGAATATATATACTCGTACCCGTGTCAGTTGCACGGACAGTAATGACCGTCGCAACGTTCCGCTTTCGGTGACCCGCGCCAAGTGAACTTCGATCTTCACGTAGGACGTATATATTATTGAAACTTTTAGTAAAAACGCAAAAATGTTCGAAGAAGTAATTCAGAAAGTATTCGAGAAAATCTGCTTAGTTGTGCTTCTTCGAGCGTCGAACATTGAGCTGGCTATAGAAATATGATATTCCGCCTATCTTTCTTTTCGCCGATACACCTGCGCTGATTACGGCGCGCCAATGTCGCGAGCAGTGCTTGCATAATATCGCGCAAACCTTGGCGGCAATTTTCCACCTACAAATCAGTTTGGACGGCTAAAGTATTAACGAAGAAATATTGTATATTGAAAAATGCGAGTCTCTCGTCAGATTACTATGTTATATACATAGTAATATATTATGTACATTATATATACATGAAGAAAATATATTTTAAAAAATATATAAATATTTTAATAAAATTAGAGAAGATATATAATATATATATATATATATATATATAATAATATTAAATATAATATTAAATTCCTAAGATAAATAAAATAATGAAATACAATCCGTATTATACATGCGATTATTTATTTTCAATTTTCATTTGCAAGTATATTTATAAAATTCATGACGCTGCGTATTTACGTATGACGCACACAGCACATATTATATTCCTTCTAATAACATTTTGTACTTTTATGTCAACAAATGTGTTATATATAGATTCCAACAACGTTCGCTACTGCAAATAAATTCAAACGTTGAAATAAAGACTGTTTGGAATAGTGTTATACAATACGTAACGACGCGTGCACGTAATGAGCAATATATGTCCTTGCTGTTCAATGCACCGTGCTAAATGCGGTGGATAACCGAACGCTGGTGGTCGCACCGAATGACGCACAGGATACGTATGATATTTCTTCCTGTTTACAAAAGAAACCAGCTTTATTTTTCCACCACTACAGGAACTGAAACTTGCGTCAGAAGTGAAAAATTCACGGTGAATAAATTCGTCGATCTCTCGTCTTTTGCCGGGCGTGTCCTTCGCGCGCAAAATAAGAACATAGGTAGCCAGGCTCGTACCTTTGCCATCCATCTAGCATCGTATATTTAAGTGGTTATACAAGCCCATCCTCACAATGGTCATTCAACTTCTTTCTGCGCCTCGGTCCAAAGCATTTTTGTACTATTATTCTGAATAGTACCCGTGTCGCTTGGGAATAAATGCGGATTATGCGGACCCTAAACCGGTAGCGGACCTATTTCGCCAAGTTCTCACGACGAAATATTCGATACTTGAGATTGAACAGTAATATTATTGCGTTTTAAATACTTTTTATAAAAGAAAGAATAAAAGAGAAAAAGAGAGAATATTATTAATTGAAAACATTTTCAATTTTTGTTTGTCGAATTTGCAAGGATACATGAAACAGGATCAACTAGACTATCTAGTTTTTTCTAAAATAAAATTAATTTTGTCCATAATTTCTTTGATAATATATATAAAATACTTTAAATAGTTCTCTAGAAAAAAAAAACATTATCTCGCGAACAGTTTTTCACATTAGAGTTCTGTCACAATGAGAAGAATATATCTATTTGCGCATACTATCATTGGGTCAACAACTATGTCAAGGATACATCACCGTGATATTACATATCGAAGAAATCAATTTGTTTAATAAATGCCACGATCACGCAACTATTATTATCAATGTATACGCGTGTATTATCAATAAACGATTTGCTCCGCGAGAACACTCGATACGATAATATTTTTGAATGTGTAAAAAATATAAATGTTTGCATTTTGACATATAAGTAAGTAAAATAAAACAACATAGCAATTTATACGAATCGATTTCTATAGCAAAAAATTCTTCGTCAGTCGACCGTTTCTTGCGGTCTGTACTTTTATCAGACTATTGTATTTTTTATTCATATTGTATATTTTATTTCTGTATATTTTACCTCTCGCAGTAAGAGCATGATATAAATCTTCGGTACATACTGCGCCATGGCAAGTAAGCTAATGTGATACTACATTGGTCGGTGTAAGTGGACGCTTACCATAGACCATTCCCTCCCATAGACGGTTTCACGTCACATCCTCATTCAGGAATTTATTAATAATGAGACATTGTTTACGAGTCGTCAATGTTGATCCTTCTACACCATGGAAATCCCTATTAAGGACAATCAAAGTTCTCATAAGCGTGCACAAGTAACTCGGGCGAAATAATGATGTATTTGAACTGTCGTACGCAATTTACGTTCCGTAATTCTTCCCAATGACTAAGCAAATCCAATTATTTTGGAACATCGTATATACTGGTATACTGATGTACGCGCACATGTCAAAATGTATTGTAATAAATATTCGATCCAAGCTATTTGGCACGCATCTGCTGTCTGTTATTAATTATTAACTATGTATATAATTTAAGAATATAAAAGAAATTGGCAATAAAAGAGTCGACGCGGTTATTAGTGCGTAATGTCAAAAGATCTTATTGCCAATTTCTTTTATATTCTTATCATAATTGAGAGTCCTTAATTATTTCATTATTATGTAATTCAAATTAATATTGATTTTAGTATTTTGATTAATACAGATGAAGTGTATTTTGATGTACAAAATTGAAGATAAATCAGGAATATACATTTTAATAAATTAATATTGTGTATGTCAAATATTATCTGAGCCAAAAGCACTGTATTAATTATTATTGGTATAATTCCGAAATTTTACATAAAAATTAAATAATTAAATAAATAAATAATCTATAAAAGTATATTATCAGAATTATTATCACGTGTCGTACATTATCCCATACAAAAAACGCAGTAAATTAGAATATCTATAAGATAATATAAATTTTAAATAAATCCTTATATATTTCTATTTATACGCTTCTTATTCAGGTTTGCAGTAATCGGTGCCTGTAAGAAGATATAAATAAATGTCGTGGGATAAATAGCTCTCAATGAGACGACGCGTTGCACACGTCATACACTTACCCGGCGTTACAGCTAAGATCCAATCTATGTATGTGCCGACACGCGTATTGATTCCTGGTTTATCACTGGCGCAACCGATACCAGAACTAATGACACCCACGAGAACCTCTCGCTTCGTCGTAGGATTCTGCCAAAGATCGGGGCCACCGCTGTCGAACTGCGACAAAAGTTGTAGACACGACAAATATGAATGCGTTCTTTTTCCGCAATAACTACTGTAATATTTTTTACGCTACCTGACACGCGTCTTTTCCTTCTGCATAAGTGCACAATTGACTATACGAAACATTCGGATACTGTCGACGACACTCTCGATACGTAATCACGGTTACCGTGACTTTCTGTAAAGTTTTAGACTTCATTCCTGTCCATTGTGTCGTTCCCCAACCTGTTTCGATCAAATCAAATAATCCAATCAGCACATAAAAATCTGCTATTTGCGCAACTTACGCGAAAACTCATAGCATTAAATTATTTAACGCTAGACAATAATTGCTACTGCGATAATATTTCCTCACCCAATAAATCCACGTAACTTCCTGCGAAGGAATCGGACCGATGTTGAAACGGAAGGCAAACCGGCCCGACTTCTTCGCTGAAACTTATATCAGAATTCAACATTACTATGGCTATGTCATTTTCTAAGGATGCGTCGTTATAAAAAGGATGCACGTAAAATCTGGAAACGGTGTAGATGCGCGAGGCATTTGTATCTGCACCTGGAATGTTTAGAAAATTTCAATTACTATAATTAAAGCACCGAAGAAGTACATGGAATATTTTTTTTTTACCAAATACATGAATTTTTAAGAGATAAAAATTGGTAGGACTATCTATACAGTCAAGATCTGCACAGGCATATCTGTGTTAATGTTTTACAATTTATACTTTGCTTAAATGTTAAAGTAATAATATAAAAATTGATAAACATAGAACGAAGCTATTTTCTTTGAAAAATTTGCTCTTGAAAAAATCTTCAAGGTTTTTTATATAAACAAATTTTTACCCGTGCTGAGATCGTGATCTCCCACAAGTACACCAACATTATTCGTCTGTCTGTCTGTCAAACAATGTGCGGCAGTTATTACGTGTCTTTCAGATATAATAGTCGCTCCGCAATATAATTCTTTTCGAAGAGGATCGACGAGACCAGCCATCATGGGATATTCGTTCACGCCAGTTTCCATACCTCCCACTATCTTTGTCTGCGACGAATAATTGAAATCAGAAATAAAAAATTCATAGAAGTTTCTACACACGCGACGTGTGTACACATGGAATCTTTTACATTCTAATTGTTTTTAGCACGTACCGGGTTTTTCCATCCGCATCTGCAATTATCATTCTCTATGTCATCGTCAATCGCTTGCAGTTCGCACAGGAACTTAACTCCCGACGACCAGAACGCGGTTGATAATTCAATGGTCATGAATTCTCCCGTCGATTCTACGCTAAATGTCTCGTTGCCGCAAAAAGAATAAGACACGGACTCGTTCACATACACAGTCAGTTTATCTAAGGCGCACCTAAAATTCTGCGAAAAGGAATAATATTCTATAAAATATCGACGTAAAAACTTTGTAATTTATTTTTAATATTAATTCAACGAATGATTTAATATTAATTAACCCAACCTAACCAATAATTATAGTTTTAATGTTGCTTCAACGTTTCGAAGCTCGGAAAATTAAATTATTCCTTTCACGAATACGAATCGACAATTAGGGCAAAAAATGTCATTCATTAATCATGTTTGATTCTGTTCATGTTTGATCATAATAAAACGCAAATCTTACCCACGGTATGTTGAAAACATTACACGTTAATCTAATGCGATAATCACTTTCCGCAAACCACTTGCAGTGTTGTCGACCGTTAGAAGCGTCGGGATAATCCTGATTGTACACGTAATAGATATCACCGGGTTTTAAATGCTGTGAATAGTTACAGCTTTGTTGAAACAAGCCGTTTGACATTATAAAACAGAACGACAGCTTCAGCACGAGCAATCCAACTATAAAAAGAACAGTTTCGTTACTGACAGCTGTGCATATGCTATAAATGTTCTTTATCATTACAATAAGAAAAAAAGATGCATTGTGTAATTTAACAATATCATTTTTTAATTAATTATTATTACATTCAGTTTCATATCACGTATAAAGATTTTATACATTGCGTGAAATAACATTTTTTAGACAGTGTTTTTACTTTCGCCTAAAACGAGACGGTAGACGGTAGTAAAGAGTATTCGCACTACTCTGAAATTATCTCGGAAATCACAGTAATAATTAAAAGTCGGCTGCGGCCAAGTACATCAGAGTATTTCAAGAATAAATGATTGTGCAACGCCGCGCCGGTTGCCGCCAGTGCATGTCATATTACGCAACCAGGACATATTTTCCTCTAAAACGAGATCTTTCTATTTTGCTGTCTTCTTAATTTGTGGGAGGTAGACATGTTTCCTTGGCAATCGAAATCAGATTTGCTACCAAATCGTCATGTAATGAAATAGCATTATATACGATTAACTAACAGAAATAGGCAGTCGTTTATGGAGAACCGCATTGCGGTTGTTATCATACGTATATCACGAGTCCAAGAAAATGTATAAAGACATGCTACATAGAAATGAGTTAAGCTTTTAGCCAAAGTCAATAAGTCAATAGAATACTGATTACTCATCGATATTATTTATTGCATGAATTTCGAATTTCCGTGAAAACCTTGTAAACACATAAAAAATCCAAATGTATCGAAAATAATCAACGCGTTTGGCAAAGTAAAATATTAAAAACGATATCTTCGTATTTTAAGCGAAATAGAGCAGTCTGTGCTCGATCGCCATAATTATTATTACTTTTTTGTATATATGCGCATATTGCGTACGATTTTGCAAAGTTACGAAATCCGCGCCGCAGGTACCGCCGCTGCGGCCGCGCGGCTGACAAGCTGTAAGTTTGTGCAAGAATAAATTGAACATATGTGTTAGGATAGTTGGAGCAATTTTATTATAAATGGCAATTCTCTCCTCTCGTCTCCCCGCGTCTACCGACGCGCTTTCAGCAGGCCCCACGTTGAATGAACTTGAATGGAAATATGCATACGCGCGCACATGTGTGCCGCGGGCTTTCATTGATTCGCGCGACGCTCGTTCTCGTCGACTTAGGTCACGCTGACGCTGACGCTGGCCAAGCCAACCGCTTGGCCGGCTTGACTGACCCGACTGACCGCTCGAAGAAACTCGGATTTGTTGCCATCTAACCGCAAGATGGAAACCACCGTTCGAGCTCTCACGCGTTCGGCGTTATCTAGCTAGGAGCAGAAGGCCATTGCGGTGCTCGCGTTTACCGACGTCCAACTCCAACTTGCTGGGCCTGGCACCTAATGTGGCCTGGCAGCAGCCGTCGGCCGTCGTCGCTGGTTGCCATGGCGGTCGAAGTCATGGCTGTGATCAAAACACAAACAAACCGTGAGCTTCCTAAAGCCCGCTTTGAGTCGGTGCAATTCGACGCGTCACGTGTTTACGCCGGCAACGTCAGACTCGCATGTGCAGATGGCTTTGTAAGATTCCCTTCAGCCGTCTTCTGCCACGTGTGTGCTTTCGGAGCGGCCGCGGGCAATGCCAAATCGCGACGGCAGTGTCGACAGGCATACCAAAGAAAAGGTAGGTTGTGTCTAAAATGTCTAAAATGTTTCCACGCCTCTTCGTGGAGAGGTTTCTGATGTAATGGCATTCTTTGTTTTCTTACATTCGATTTTATTGTAATCGCAGCGCAGCAGTCATAGGATCTCGGTTGTGGAAAATGAACTGGAGCCGGTGCATAAGCCACTACGTTATAGGCGGTTTCATAGAAGACGTCACTCGAGAGTCAACGGTGAATTCGAGGAGTTGACGGATAAAAATGGAAATGGCAATGGTGTTGCACTGCCTAAAAAAGGTAGCAAGCACAGCGTTCAAAAGAAAATTGACAGATTGGTCGAAGAGAACCGGATATTGACGATGAAACTGGAAAGTTCCAACGTAAACCCTGGTAAGTTCTCGCTAATAATATACTTTATGATATATAAATAATATTCTTTGCTGAAAAGCAGTCGAGAAAGTACTCCGTAAAATTTCAGAGACTGTCGCTGAATTAAAAGAAAAGGATTCCTTAATGTCAAGAATTTCCAACAAGTACCACAAATTGTTAAAAAATCACGACAACCTGCAACAGGAATATGAGAAAGTAAATGCTCTTTTGGCAGAACGCGAAACGGAATATCGTCAGTTGCACACGCATCACAAGAAATTTACGGAAGCTTTACAGAAGGTGGAGAAAACCAATTCCAATCTTCTGACGTTTAACCAAAGATGCAAAGCCGAAAACGTTCAGCTGAACGAAGATGTAGTGCTTCTTAAGCACGTGATATATCGTTTGAATGCAGAGCTCGAGAGATATCAAGATAAATTAAAAGAATCTGGACAAAGTGTCCTATCTAAAAATGTTAACGATGTATTAGATTTTAAGAGACCAGCAGACGATATCAAAACGGTATCGGAGTCATGGGGTTCGGTGAATACCCATGTGCTAGGTCCACTTTTAGACGCCTATCAGGAGAGCCTGTCGGAGAAACAAGAGCTCGTGAATAAATATGAGGAGGACATCGCGAATTTTAGTGCTAGGTGCAAAGAAGTTGTCATGGAGAACGAATGTATGCAGAGCGAAATGGAGAAATTGAAGTCAAAGGTATTCTATTTATAAAAGAAGATTATTGTGCACCTTACAAATTATTGTAGTAAAAGTTTTTCAGTGTACCAGGTACGCGGATGAAATCAAGATGATATCGGAGGATGCCGACTTGCTCAAGGAATTGAACGAGTGTTACACGAGGCAGACTGCTCACCAAAAGCAAAAGATACACGAGATCCATTCGTTGTACGAACAGAAAGTGGAGGCAATGTCATTTGACAATAATAGACTTCACGAAGAGTATCTTGCTTCCAAGACTGAATTAAGCAATCTTCAAGGGAAATACGATGTTCTTCATAAGGAATACGAAAAGCTGCAGAACGATAATACAAAAACAATGCCTGTTCATGTTCATAATGCTGCCGTTGAAGAATGTAGAGAATTGTTTGATAAATTGAAGCGTCAATATGAAACCGAGAAGGAAAAACTATCTACTCGCATTAAAGAATTGGAAGAATCCTACTGCCAAAATAAAACGCAACTGGATGTAGTTACGATAGAAAGAAATCAGTTGAAAACATTGAATAAAAGCTTCGAGAAGCGTTTCAAGTGAGTCTCGTATTAATGCGTTACAAATTACGAACTATAATTGTGATTTAAATTTTTTATTCCGTTGCTTTTCTTTTTTCAGACGTATACAGCGAAAACTGGAGCATTTTCAAAAAATTGCACATTCCATGCAAATATCCCGGGATTCTTTTAAGAAGCAGTTAAGAAAGACTACGCTATATTGCGAAGAGTTATTCGGCGAATATGAAAGGATAGCCGCCGAACGGGATAAGTTAGTCGCGCTTTTACATGAGACAGAAAATGAAAATGCAAGTATTCATTTTCTTGGCGATACTATTACTCAACGAGTAGGCCACCTAAAGGAACAATTAAAGGTGCATAACAAAGAAAAGATTCATACTAGACATATCATTTCTTATCGATTTTTAAATAAAATATGGTCACGTTATTATTAGGTCGTACACGAAGGGGCCAAGCAACAATTAGCGCTGGCAGAGAAAAATATGAAAGTGCAGCAGCGTGGGGTGCACCGGATGAAAGACGAATACCACCGAGAACTGCAACGCTTCAAGCATCTGCTGAAGCAAAAAGAGGAAACGATCGGACGACTGCAGAAAGAGATTAGCGCGACCCGCGAGAACCTGGAGCTCGTTTGGAAGGTCACCGCTGCGGACAGCAAGAAAGTTAAAGGGCCGCAGAAAAGCGCGAAGGTCCAGCACGTTTAGTTAAGCTTAGAAATGTAAAATCTACGATGGAGGTGTAAAATAAATTTAATTCCGTCCCTAACGTCGTACAAAAGACGCGATAAAAAAAAGCACAACGTACAATTTACACGGTCTAACACTGATTCATCTTAGGAAACGCTTTGTCGGCTGTAAACGGAAGCTAGTCATTGTACAATATACGTGTAGCATTATGTGTCAAGCGCGACCTTTGTAATTTATTATATAGATGATTACGTAAACGGTAATTACGCCATTTTCTTATTGCCTCCTCATCCAGATCGAGCATGTAGCAAGATATCGGTTTACGTCACGAATTTAAAAACGGTGCCGGTTCCGACCGGCCGGATCGTCGAGATAATGTATTCCGCATGATAATGACACGTTTCTCGTGTCAAATATATCCGAACGCGTTCATTCAGCACGCGGAGGAAACGGCAGATTTATCGATAGTATCACCGGCTTTATTTAATGGTGACATCAACCGGCAAAAGGTTTTGAAGGTTGCCGTTGGTGTGACAGTGGAATTAACGTCGGGGAACCTGCGGCCCCGCGCGGCATGAAAAATTGACGTCCCCACTTATAGGAGTGATCTCACGTTCCATTAATATTAACATGCAAGGCGCGTAAGTGCGCTCGTAATCGCGTACGTATCGCACCTTGCGTTCGCTAAACGGCTCTTTGCTAATTGCCGGACGTTTTCCTCGAGTGCAGATAATCTATAAACATTGACTTTTACTCCGATATTGCTGACGATACCGGCATACATCGAGAAAACACTTCAGATATTATAACGCTTGATTCTTTGTTGTACCTTTTGCTGTCAAGTCGTTTCTAGACTAGATTGAAAAGATTACACGGGCATCTTCGCAGTTATATTTATCAGTTTCGTAGCGAAACGTTAATATCAAAAGATCTCTTCTTTTTTACTCATATCTATTATTTTGCGCGCGCGAGACGGTAAAGTCTTGGTGATCGTCGAGATTCTCGGCGATACCGTTTACGACGTGCGATGAAGATCGCCGTGTCGTGCACCAACATCTCACAGGTAGAACATAAAACTCATGACATCATGATGGCGTCATCACGACGTTATTCATCACTTGAAACTTATCTGGACATGTTCAAAAATGCGCGATTTTTCGTAGAATTCTAAATATCTTTTTTAAAAAATAATGATCTTCTGAAGAAGGAGCAGAGAAGGCCCTTTATGTGCCCCCGCATGTTTTCAGTTTGGACCTCATAAAAGAGAGCTCGCGGAGCATTGAAAAGTCGCGTTGTATAATATAAGGTGCAAAGCTGCGCATTTAAGAGTTAAATGACGAATAAAGCTGAAAATGATAAATAAAGATGAAATAAAGTCACGATAACGTCATCATGATGTCACTGTGAGTTTTATGAGAACATAAAATCCAGGTAGAAACCTCGAACGTACAATTTCGCTGTCGGCGGCCTCAGCCTCTGCGTGCTCGGAATCAATCGAAATCCTCGCGCATCTCTTGCACCTTATCGCGTCGTAAATCAATCATCGCTCAATCATATATCGTACGTATATCGCCATTTTCTGTAACTAACTATGCGCATCCGTCATAAATTTCTGTACAGCGGTAATTATAGGCGCCTGAAATCGCCACTTTGATTTCGCACGTTTTGCGCGTCGTAATTGTACACTGTAAAATTCGTAGTGTCAAATTATAATCAATTTCAGTCATTTTCAACCGTTCCTATAAGTCGCCACTGCTCCTACTCAATATATCGTTAATTTAAAACAATATTAATTTAACTAAACTATAATGGAGTTAAAATAATACTGTTTTGTGATAAAATACTAAATTTCGACACTCGTGGTATAGTTAAAAATAACAAAATGTTATCTGACTCAAAATATTGATTCAAATTTCACCCTCTAATATTTAACAGAGTGTAATGTGCAAAACAGCTAGGAGCCATAATTATAATACGCAGAATTCTAATTAATCATTTTCATTTTTTATAAA